TTTGTACTCACGATGGGCATTATGAATTCCTTGTTATGCCTTTCGGTTTGTGTAACGTGCCGTCCACTTTTTAGTCCATTATGAACGATATATTGCGCCCTTACCTTCGTAAATTTACTTTGGTGTTTTTTTATGACATTTTGGTCTATAGCTCTTCTCTACAGGACCATATCTGCCACCTCTGGCTCGTGTTCCAAGCTTTAGAGAAACATCAGCTGGTTGCCAATGAGAAGAAATGTTCTTTCGGCGTTGCGCAAATTGAGTGCCTTGGCCACATTGTTTCCGGAGAAGGAGTCGCGGCTGACCCCTCTAAGGTATCCGCTATGCTTGACTGGCCGACGCCGACGAATATTAAGGAGCTTCGTGGATTTCTCGGGCTCACGGGCTATTATCGGAACTTTGTGCACCATTATGGTTCCATCGCTTTTCCCTTGACACAATTGCTCAAGAAGGACATCTTTATATGGACCGACGATACGACAACGAACTTCACGAAACTCAAGGAGGCCATGGCCACCGTCCTAGTCCTGTGGTTGTCGAATTTCTCCCAATCCTTTGTTGTCGAAACGGATGCATCGGGTATCGGCATCGGGGTTGTGTTGATGCAGAATAAGTGCCCCTAGCTTATTACAGCCATGCATTATCGTGTACTTATCGACACAAGCCCATTTATGAACGAGAGTTGATGGCTATCGTTCTTGCAGTCCAGAAGTGGCGCCCGTACTTGTTGGATCGGAAATTCCTCACTCGGACGGATAAAAAGGCCCTGCGGTTCTTACTTAACCAACGCGTGCTTCCGAGAGAATATCAGCGGTGGATCACCAAATTATTGGGCTACGATTTTGATATCGAGTACAAGCTCAGACTGGAAAACAAAGCTGCCGATGCCCTTTCACGGCGACCAGACTTAGCCCATTTGAATACTTTGACGATGACATCTAGTCTCAACGTTTCTGTCATTTCACAAGAAATTCAGGAGGATGCTAAGCTTTCTAAAATCATGGCTGACCTTCGTAATGCCCAACCAGTCCCAGTTGGATATTCTTTGAGGCATAATGTGCTGTATTTCCGTGGCAGGTTAGTCCTTGCTTCTTCTTCCCCATCCATTCCATTGATTTTGCAGGAATTTCATGGGTCTCCATCAGGGGGCATGGGGTTTCTCAAAACCTTGGCACATCTCAGTCGGGAAGTTCATTGGAAGGGAATGTGCCAAACTGTCAAGCATTTTTGTGCTGATTGCCAAATCTGTTAACAAGCTAAGTATCTTTCCTTGGCCCCCGCCGGGTTATTGCAACCCTTACCCATATCGGAGCACATATGGGGATGAAATTTTCATGGATTTCGTCGAGGGATTGCCGCGCTCAGAGGGATTCAATTCCATCCTACTGGTTGTGGATCGATTATCCAAGTATAGTCATTTTATACCTCTTAAACACCCGTTTACTGCTATAGTCGTGGCCCAAGTCTTTGTGCTGGGAGTGGTTCTCTTACATGGAGTTCCCCAGGGTATTATTTCTGATCGGGACAAAATTTTCACCAGCTTATTCTGGGAGGAATTATTTCATTGCATGGGAACAGCTCTTCGCCGAAGCACGGCCTATCACCCACAAACGGATGGCCAGACGGAGGTGGTTAATCGCTGTTTGGAGACATACCTCCACTGTTTTACTATGACTACACCCACTAAGTGGGCACAATGGCTTTCATGGGCTGAATTAAGCTACAAACCTCATTTCACACCGCCACCAAGACAACCCCCTTTGAAGCAGTCTATGGCCGTCCCCCCCTCCTATTTTGCCTTATGAGCCAGGCGTTACAGTCGTTTCTTCGGTCGATCAGCAGTTACGGGACCGGGACAGCATGTTGCACGAACTAAAAACCCACTTACTGGCTGCCCAACAATGCATGGTGTCGGGAAGGCTATTATATATGTGTTACTCTTGAGAGGGAAGGGGTATTTTTTTGCTGATTGTATTTCCGTTGAGGAATTGTGGGAGAGATTAGGGAGCTCTCAAATACTCCCTTAGACTGTAATTTCCCTCTAGTATCTAAATAATAGAGTAACCTCTATCAGTTTCAAAGGGGAGAAATACATTTAGATTCTTTAAGTGAGGAAGATGAGATCTTTAATTTGGTGGAAGATGGACGATTAGTTAGACCCAACTAGCAGCAATTTTATGATACAAAAGACAATAATCTTCATCAAGAACGTCAAGAGCGACCTATATTAACAACAAGACAACACCACCACAAGAAATACTATGAATTTTTTTCCACCGTGATAGACCTAAAGAGTGGAAAAGTGAAGGGTTATTGCTTCAAGAATTCAACTTTTTCAGCAAAGAAGAAGAGTTTTTCTATGGGTTTGTTGTTAGATTATTTTGATGACGTTCAAGAAGATTCTCATAGGAGTGAAAAGATTGAAGGAGGCAAAGATTCTCCAATTGAACTTCAAGAACATAGGCTATAAGAAAATGCAAGAAAGCTCTTCCTTCCAAGTAGACTTCAAGAATGTAGATACGAGAAGGAGAGATTCAGTCTGTGGGAGAGTTGAGAAACAAACTCATTTGACCAATTCAATTTCTAGTTATTCCAAGAAAATTTTGGGAAGTATTGGAATGAAGAAGAAAGTGGGTAGTTTTGAGAAGGATCTTGAGAAAAAGAATGTTTGATAATTTGGAAAACTTTTGTCTCAACAAACTACTGGATCAAAATTTATTGGGATTTAATTTAGATTGGTCACTTTATCGTTGTTTTGATGAGTTGAAAAGGGCATTTTTCGGTTGGAGTATATTTGAACCGCAAGAAGAAGGGAGTTTCTATTTTGAGGGTTGTTCACAACCTTCTAACTCTACTGCTTTTAAACTTGAGGACAATTTTATCTTTTGGGCTGGAGAAATTGGTGCAGTTAGGTGGCTGTCAGTTAGCTTGTTATGTTGTAATCATTTAGTTGCAGCCCTCCTTTAGCTTGTTTCTCATTTACTGCACAGTAACAAGAGTTACTCTCTTTTGGTTTAAGTTAGAAACCTCCATAAATAAAGTTAGAAACCTCTATAAATAGGTTTCAGCTTCATTAATAAAACATCATTGAATTATTATCAAACTCTTGTGCAAGACTGCATCAATTTGGTTCTTTGCTTGGCTCCTTAGGAAGGATAATTACCCTAGATGTGTTGCAAAGGGTCTAATTTTACATTTTTGGCTTGAACCGGTGTATTCCATGTAGCAGCAGGGTCTATGATCTGAGTTAAGATTTTGTGGTTGTGCCATTTTATTTCTAGAGCGTGCAGTTGGTTGGTTGTGGTTTATCTTTTGTTCAGAGGTTGAGAATTTGCTAGATGATGGAGGAAGTTGTTTTGCATCCTTATTTTGAAGGAGAAGTATGTGTTCTATTGCAAGTTCACTTCTTTGCCATTCTATGTCTAATATGGTTAGAATGAGATAGAACATTTATGGGAATGGATAATTTGTGAGAAGATGTTTGGGGAAACATGTTTTTACGCTCCCCTCGAGGTTCTTAATTCAAATTTATTTTGTAATTACTCTTTTTTTCTATAACCAAAAGATGGGGTTCTTTTGTGCATGTTTTTGCCCCTTTGACCTCTTTTTTTAGGTCATTTCTTTGACTTTAATCTTCTATTCTTTAGAACAAGATACAAACTTTTCATTGAAATATAATGTTCCAAGATACAAACTCCAAATGGGAGTTAAAGTAGGCAAAGAAAAATAAAGGAGAACAATCATCATGGGATGACTCAAGTGGTCAATGAGGGCCAATGTAAATAGCAAAGGATTCAGAGGGAATGAGTTCAAACTATGGTGGCCACCTACCTAGGATTTGATATCCTACGAGTTTCCTTGTCAACCAAATGTAGTAGGGTCAGGCGGTTGGTCCGTGAATAGTCGAGGTGCGTGCAAGTTGGCCCAGACACACGGAGATCCAAAAAAAAAAAGGAGAACAACAAAAAGAAGATTCATAATACAGAAGAAACAAACAATGAAAATCCAGCGGCTTGGTCATGAGACGTGACAAAGGAAGCTTAACCAGATCCTTCAAACGGGGAAGAAAGCTACCAAAAACTTCAAGAGCCAAGAGACAATCAACAACCATATTTGATATTCGGATCAAATTCAAGCCCAAGGATTCTGAACTTTGCACTAAAAGTATCATACTCCATCTTCCATTCAGAAAGCAGCTCCATCCTTCTTCTAAAACAAGCTTCTTCACAATAAGTCATATTATTTAGCGTTTTTTCCAACTCCTTTAGAAAGCCAGGATGCTTTTCATTGGAAGAGAATCCCAAAGAAGTGACAAAGTAAGGGCGATAAGAAGACATTTTAGAGTAATAAACTTTTAAGGACTTTGGGGCAGGGAGAGATACTTCAACTTTAAACCCAAACACCAAATGGATCCCCTTGTTTAAATAAGAGAAGCATGGCTATAAAAGAAAATTGTTGTTAGTGTTTAATGGATCTCTGGGACTGTTAGCGGTCTCGAGATCTAGAAAAAAGATCCAGGATCATAATCATCAATTTTTTTTTTTTTTTTGGATAACTTCCTTTATTCTGTATAAATATTACTATTGAAAATGAATGAAGCCAATGTGATCATTAGTCACTCAAGCCAGCACGTCCTTTTAATGAATGATTTCGTTTAGCTTGTCTTTATGCTTTTCAGCTATTGGATTCACAAGTTTTTGGTTCATTTTACTTGTGTAGAAGTAATTTTAAGCCTTCTTCTTCTTCTTGCCTTATTTTAGTCCTCTTATGCACTACACCTATGAATTAACATTCAACGTTGTTAGTGTTTAATGCGATCTTATAGCAAATTGGACAGCTCCATTGTAATTTTTTATCGGAGATCCATCTTTTGTAATTTCATTCATGATTCATCAGTGGTTTCTTACCAAAAAAAGAAAAATGTTGTTAGTGTTTAATGGGATATCAAAAGTGGTATTAATTTTTACACTATGAGAACAACCTTTGTGTGTCTTGCTCAGGATGATATCTGCTGACATTGTGGACTTGTCAAGTGATGATGAGGAAGGACCAGACCTGAAAGCCATTAAGTTGGAGCCAAAAGTTGACAGGGCTGTGATGCTACTAAAAGAGCATGAGAAGAAGGTTATCATCAAACATGAAAAACTAAATACTGAGTCTGGTTGTCAACAATTTGATGGAAATAGGTGCTCCAATGTTTTGAGTGCTGGTCATAGCTGCTCTAGTATATTGGATCAGGTGTTATCTCCTGCTGATGATTCTGGCCTTACTTCCCCATCTCCATTGTGTCCTGCACCAGTTTGTCGGCAATTTTGGAAAGCTGGTAACTACGATGATGGAGTTGCTTCTAAAGCCACTGTTCAAAGTACTATGCTATTTTGTCTTGTTCATTAGTACTTCGCCATTTTTTTAATAGATACGTGATATTTCATGGATAATTATGCTCAGCACAATTTTCTTGCCTCGGATTGGACAAATAGTGGTCCTACCAAAGTAATGCAGGATAGAACTTTTCATTTAGATGGATTTGTGAAGAGATATTGGATTCAGGAGTTCTGTTTCTAATGGATTTGGTTTTTGTGTTTGCTGATGGCAGGTTCCAAAGGATATCTCCATGTCCACCCTATGTTCCTTCATTCAAATGCTACTTCACATAAATGGACCTTTGGAGGTATCAAACTGTGTGTGTGTGTTTGTATGTCTTTTACTTGATGAAAGAAACTCAATCATCCTTTCTATCTAATTATTTCTTATTAAAAAAAGCCATAATTTTTATCCTATTGTCTCTTGCTGTTTGCAGCTATTGCAGAGTTGCTTGATAACGCTGTTGATGAGGTGATTTTCTCGCCTGAATCTTTTAGCAGCATATTTGCTTAATTTCAATTAAAGTTTATAAGATGATATTTATGTTTTGTGGGTATTATCTTGGTTTTTTTTTAATTTATATATATTTTTTGGGGTAAGATGTTTTTCTTGGTGTAGCCATCTTTCCAATTCTATTCCCCTCCTCCCGGCCCGACCTTTTTAAATAAAACTTTGATTAGACATATGTTTCACAATATTTGAAGTGCATGATGATCATTATTGAATTTCAAATAAAGTGCTTTCGACTTTTAATAACATGGCTTTAATGTTTGTAAGTTGAGGTATTTATGTGTTCTTCTGTCTAGTTCTGTTGGCCTTCTACATTTAGATTCTTACTCTTATGTTATATAATGGATAGATCCACAACGGAGCCACCTTTGTCAAGGTGGATAAAATATTGAATGCAAGAGATGGAAACCCTGCTTTGTTAATTCAAGGTATTGCCATTCAATTATCCAATTGCCTTGTGATATCAAGTTTCTATTTTCATTCAGATTTCCCTTATTGTTAAGTCTGCCCTGTCTCTGCTCCACCTTTGTTATATATGTAGATCAGACTTCTTAATAATCATGTTTCTAAAATTTGACCAATTTTTCTAGACGATGGAGGTGGAATGAATCCTGAAGCGATGAGGAAGTGTATGAGTTTTGGATTTTCAGATAAGAAGTCAAAATCAGCAATCGGAAAATGTATGGAATTTTGCAATCATCTTGTAATTTCTACTTTTTTAGCTTCTTCTTCCCTACTGCATTTATTGGTTCACTTGTAGCCTTCCAGATGGAAATGGTTTCAAAACCAGCACTATGAGACTTGGTGCAGATGTTATTGTCTTCAGTCGGCATGTGAATAATAGGTTTGGCTCCAAATTTGACATGGTTTTCAACTTGTACATGTAAATATCTTAGTTTTGGCTATGAATGGTGATATTTATTCCAACCTTATTTCTTTGAATGTCTCTACTCATTGTTCTGGCAGAAGATCTTTCATCATTTAACTTTTTTGGCTATAAATAGCGAACATATGTGGAATTTCATACATTATGTCTTTGTAAAACAGTTTCTTTTTCCTGAGGTTCATTTTCCATGTTCAGGGTATCAACGCAGAGTATTGGTCTTCTATCCTATACATTTTTGACCCGTTCAGGCTACAACAGAATTGTAGTGCCTATGGTAATTCCACTTTCCCCTGAAATAGTTTTATGTATATGATGGGAAGGAACATTTTACGTCTTCTTCTCCCAATTTTTTTTTTACTATTTTTACTTTTTGTTAACCTTTCTCGTCATATGCACTTCCTTCGAGGCTTCGACTTCAAAACTGATGCATGCTTTACTATCTTTATTTATTTTTGGTCAGTCACTTTTTTAATGCAATGGAGAATCGATGTTTATACTGCAGGTAGATTATGAATATAACATATCAAGTGGCAAACTGGAAATATTGCATGGGAGGGAACATTTTGCGTCCAACCTTTCCATACTTTTGCAGTGGTCTCCATACTCAACAGAGGCTGAACTTCTTAAGCAAGTATGTCCCTTTTTTTATCTTTTGTGTGTGTGTGTGTGTGCCTTGTGTACTTTGACATTTCTAGCATGTTATGTTTGTAAAAGAGGATCCTGGCCTAATTCTTATCTTGGTCTCCCCTTGAATGCTAAACCACATACGGCATCCTTTCGGGATCCAATTTTGGAAAAAATGAGGAAAAAGCTTAGCTTGTGGGAAAATTCTCTTATATCAAAAGGCGGTAGGGTCACCCTCCTACAAGCTTCCTATCCAATCTCTCCATCCATTATCTATCTCTCTTTTCCATCCAATATAAGGTGGCAAAGGAGTTGGAGAAAATCATGAGGAACTTTCTTCGAAAAGGAAACAACTCCAATAGGGGACAGCATCTTGTGAGATGGGAAAAGGTCATCCATCCCATTGAGGATGGTGGGCTAGGAATTAGAAGCATCAAAGACAAAAACAAAGCTCTCCTAGCAAAGTGGATTTGGCGGTATCATGTAGAAGAATCTTCCCTTTGGAGAATAGTTTTTTTTTTCTTCTTTTTTTTTTTGGGGTGAAAGAAATCCCTTGGAGAAGAGTTATTGTTGCTAAATTCGATCAATAAAACAACTCCCTTCAACACTCCCTCGCATGCTTGCATTTGACCGTGGTCCATGGAAATCTATCCTCAAACAGCAATCCCTTGACATGGTAAGAAGCTTCTTTAAGGTTGGTGATGGATCACAAACTTCTTTCTGGACAGACAATTGGCTGGAGAATGTGCCATTGCATGCTGCTTTCCCCCTTCTCTTTACCTTACACTTCAACGGAAATGCTACTGTTAAGGACTTATGGTTGACGGAAACTAACTCTTGGGATCTCAGATTTAGACGAAACCTCAAAGATGCAGAAATCATTGAGCTAGTACCACTTCACAGATTGTCTACCATCCATCTCAACCAGGACAATGACAGAATCTTATGGAGATTGGAACCATCTGGATTCTTGACAACCAGCTCTCTCCTCCAAGGCTTGATAAATCCCACAACCTCTCATGATGATGCTTTTCTTTATAAGTCGATTTGGAAAGATCACTACCCAAAGAAGATTAAATTCTTCTTATGGGAGGTTAACCTGCTTGCATTAAATATCCACGACAAGCTACAAAAGAGGATGCCGTATACGTGCCTTTCTCCACGGTGCGTTCTCTGTAAGCAGCATGGTGAATCTTTGGGGCACGTCTTCGTTTCTTGCAACTTCTCATCCAAGCTCTGGGATACTCTCTTACCATCCTTTGTATGGCCTATGGTTCTACCGACAGATTTACACTCCCACATGGTGTGCTCTTTGTAAGCAGATGGTGAATCTTTGGGGCACCTCTTCGTTTCTTGCAACTTCTCATCCAAGCTCTGGGATACTCTCTTATCATCCTTTTGATGGCCTATGGTTCTACTGACAGATTTACTCTCCCTCTTATCCTTTGCTCTCATGGGACACCCATTTACTAACAAAGCAAAAATCTTCTGGATGCATTTTGTTAAGGCCATGCTTTGGTCCATTTGGTTGGAAAGAAATCATAGGATCTTCTAAAGAAAAGCGTTATCAATCAACAAACTTTTTGAATCTATAGTGTCATTGGTTGTATCTTGGTGCAAATGTTCTCCTATCTTTCAACACTACAGTTTTAACTTTTAACCTATTGGAGAGATATTTTGTAACTCCTTTGGTTTGGTTTGGGATGTTTCTTCCCCTTTTGTATATCTCTCTCATTTCATTACATTAATGAAATCGTTTCTCTTTCCAGAAAAAAAAGACATTTCTAGCATGTTTGGACTATGGGCTACCTCTTTTAGCATGTTTTATATATATACACACAAGAAACCGAATGATATCGTATTAATCACAAAGAGGCAACTGAGTCAGCCTAAGGGCCAGGGTGGAGGGGACCCCTCCCAAAAAGAACAACAAAAAAGAAACTATATCAAAGTCTTCCGATCATTCACAATCAGTGGTGCTTATGCGCTGAATGTGTTATCCATCCTGCTCCCACCACCATTTAATCTTACATAATTTATCTAAATTGATATACAGTAATTGTATAGCCTCCAACATCGACTATCTGTATTTCTTTGTATGAGAATTTCTGCCCCAAACTTTGGTTATCACATTTTTGTCAAAATTTTCAGAAAATTTTGATAAATGATAAGATATTATATCCTCAGATGGTTAGTTATGATACATAGCGAAATGTCAGCTTCCCTAGTTTCTGGGCTACATAATAGAACTTTGAAAAGTTTCTGTCTTTACTTTTTCCCTTAGGTTGACAACACTTTTCTGATTTTAGCAAGGTCGGATGTTTTTCTTAATGGATAAGAAAAATAAGTCCTACTTATTTTTAAAGAATTGATACAAGGTTAGATTAAATAGCAACTACAGGGAATAATCAAAAATGGAAAAAGAAACTCTTGCCTATTAGAATAAAGAACCCTTGGAAACCCTAATCTATTAGAACCTAAGTGCAATAGAAAAATAAAAGAAAATAATAATATAATTTAACAGTTCTATATATATATATATATATATTTGTGTGTGTGTGAAGGGAGCAAATTTTTGATATAGTGAAAAGTTAAAAACAGTCTGCCCATTTTTATCTAGGGGCTTACAAAAATGCACCCCGATCAAGTTTGCAACTTCCTCCCAATCCTTTCCCTTCCCATTGAAAAATTTTGAATTTCTTTCAGTCCGAAGACTTGCTTCGACCGGCAAAGGCTTACCGAGATACACCATAAGAAGCTCAGAAGGACTGCATCCAATCATACTTGTCGCTAAAGTCACTTTCCATCTTTTCATCTCATGGCCTCTTCAAAGATCTTCCTACCCTTAGCATGTTATTTTAAATTTTCATCATTATCCTTCTGAAATAATTTTGTATGGTCAACAAATTGAAGGTGAGTGATATGTATAATCTCCCCACTGATTAAAAAACCTTCCAATAAAACCTGCCTGAAACTCTTGATGCATCAAATTGCTTAACATGTCTTCCACAATCGCAAAATGTAAAGGAGATGATGGGTCGGGTCTCCTCGATTGAAGCAGAAACCCTGCCCTTCCATTTCCCATGAAGAGAAATATGGAGAATTTTGTACCTGAAATGCATTCTTTCATTCAATTCATCTACCTCTTACCTAAATGTTTCCTTTGCAATATCCTGATTAGAAATTCTGGATCTACCAGGTCATAGGCTTCATGGTAATCAATTTTAAGAACACGACATATTTCCTTCTATCTTCTTCTTTCCTCATCCGTTCACTTGCTATTAGAATCAATTTTAAGAGTCCTGCCTCTTTTCTTCAATCATCTTCTTTTCGACCTCCAATGAATGCATGTTGGTCATGGGACTGTAGAGGCTTTAGCCTCTTGTCTTGCCTCCCTTTTGCATGGGCTGTTTTTTTTTTTAATTGCCCGTTTGATCGTTTGCTCTGTAGACGTATTATTTTTCTCATGAAAAAAAATATCTTGAACAGTAACTTGTTTACACCATTGATTAGGCTAATAGGTCTAGAATCTTTTACTTTCACTCCTTTTTCTGAATAAAAAAAAATCAGAGTTTTATTTTAGATTTATATAGTCATATTGAGCGTGTTTGAAAATTTCTACAGCAAGGCATGGTGTATGACCTTGCTAATTGAACATCTTTAATTATGTGGAACATATTTAGCAGCTCTATATGTGGGAGCATCAACATGTGTACATTTTGACTCTGATGGCAGTTTGATGACATTGGATCACATGGCACAAAAGTAATAATCTATAATTTGTGGTATAACGGAGACCAGAATATGGAGCTGGACTTTGATACAGATCCAGAGGTTCAACTACATCTTTCCGTTTTCTTCTTTTAATTGACTGTAATAATTTGTGAGGACTTTTATATTGACTTGATGGCAGCAGGACATTTGCATTGGCGGACATACAAAAAAAATTGACGCTCTTTCTGCACGGAAGGCAGTTAATGAACAGCACATTGCTAATAGATTGCAATATTCTCTCCGTGTAAGCTTGAATTGCAAAAGGAATATTACAGTTCCATTTTATATAGACAACAAGCTTTGTACTTACACTTTGTGCTTCCCAGGAATATTTATCAGTCTTGTATTTGCGGATATCTGAAAATTTCAAAATTGTATTGCGTGGACGGGTTATTCAGCATCATAATCTTGCTGATGATCTCAAATTCATCGAATACATTTTGTATAAGCCTCAAACTGCTGGATGTGTCGAGGTATTAATTGTCTTTTCAACATGCTTTTTTTTCCTTTATCTTATGTCTCATAGTTGCTCCCCTCCCTCTTCTGATAGGTGGGTAACGTAGTGAGTACAGTTAATCTCATGTCATATACTACATTCTTTGTGAGTTGCCATAAACCATAGTTTTCTATATTATATTATTTTTTGGCTTGGCTTGATGAATAATTAGACCTAAATTTTTTTTTCTTTTAATAACATACTTGAAAGAATACACAAAGGGCATACAAAAATGGGTAAACAGAAACTACCCCTCAAGAAAAGGACTCCAGTCCTAAAAAGAAAAAAACAGCTAACCGATAATTACAAAACACCTTAGAAACTAAAGCCTGAAGAGAGATTAAATATACACAATCTCTTCCCAGCCAAATATCTGATAAAATAGTGAAAAAACAAGACTGCCAAAGAACACTTCCCTTATCTCAGAAGGGAGGATTAAACCCCTCCTCCACCATCGCCTGAAAATCACTTCTAAGTGGCAATGAAACCCCAAAAGTATTCAACAAATCACGTCCAAATCAACTAGGGAAAGTGACAGCTTCGAAGAATGTAGTCAAGGTCCTCCATTTTTTACCATAATATTAATATAGCCCTTTATTATTATTACTATTATGGTAGAAATTAATTCTGAAGATTTTTTAAAATACTTTTGGGCTTTGTTTCTGGAGTTACTAGTTAGAGATAATAAATAAACAATGGGGGAAGAGAATGAAGTTGGCAGATATCAGGGCGTAGTTTTTGGAAAGTACCAAGTGTCTCAATTGCTTAGTAAATTCATGTATTTTCCTCTCTTGATATTATAAATCAAGTTCCTATTTAATTTCTCGTGTATCTTGAAAAGAACAAAAACAAGAAGAGGAGAGAGAAGAAGAAAAAGAAGACGACACGAAGAAAACATATTACTTTTTTACTTAATATCTTTTAAAACCCTCTTTTACTTAATATCTTATTAAAAGTAAACCCTGAAGATAATAATGATGATGATGGCATCTTATCAATTGTTTACATTGTAGCTCTTTTTCTAACTATTCAGGGTATGGTAGTTACTACAATTGGGTTTCTGAAGGAGGCCCCACATGTCGATATACACGGTTTTAATGTGTACCACAAAAATCGTTTGATTATGGTAAGTTAACTTTCACCTTTTGTTGTTGACCTTTTTCTAACCTAAAACCGTACCGTTATTTCTGCCCCTTTCCCTATTCATTTTAACCATTAGAAAGTTCTTTTCTTTCTTTCTTTATGGGCGTGTGTGTTTGTTTCTGCATAGTTTTCTTATTAATATATTAGTTACTTGTTGAAAATTGAGTATGGTCTTATAAATGATTGTGGGTGGAAATCTGATGCCATGTGAAGAATTTTGATGGTACCGAATGAGGAAATAGGGACTGTTTTTTACATTTGTGGGAATACATTAGTGGTCGTATAAATTTTACTTTCAAACTTGTCATTTCTGGGTTCTGATACAATTTTTTGATAATGATTCTTTTAATTAAATACAAAGTAATTGATTATGGACCTTTTATGAAGCAGAAATAGCTTGTACAAACTAGTCATTATGTATGGATTCCAATTCAATTCGTTGGAAATGGTTCTTTCAATGATGTACAATGCAATGGATTATCGTAGATGGTACTGTATTATGTTTTTAACTGTCTTTTTGTCCGATGCACCAATATGTTCCTTTTCATATCATTTGCAGCCATTTTGGAGGGTTGTGAGCTATTCAGACGGTAGAGCAAGAGGAGTTGTTGGTGGGCACTTGCTATCTAAATTTCCTTTTTTTTTTTTTTTGACTTGTGGCTGATGGTCATTGATATTTATCTATATCTGAAGGTGTTCTCGAAGCAAATTTTATTGAGCCAACACATAATAAACAAGATTTTGAGAGAACATCTCTTTTCCAGAAACTCGAAACTCGTTTGAAGGAGATGACTAGGGAATATTGGTAAGCTATTTGGGAAAAAATTGTCTATTAACATTAATTTTTCCTTTTTTCATTTCTCGGATTTGAATAATGGAGGCATGGGTTACTTGGCTTCCGTTGTTTGTACTAGTGTTACCTCACACTTTTGCCTATTTATTTGGCAGGGATTATCATTGCGGACTCATTGGGTATCAGGTTAAGAAACATATTCAGGTTTCTGCAACCTCAGCGATGCCATCCAACATCACGGTACCTGCTGGAATAGAGAATTCTCACAAATCGACACAATGCTTTCCAGTTCCAGTTGGTAAAATAGGATCTCACGGGAGATCTGAACAATCTATACCCAAGTCACAGGGTAAATCTAGAGAAGGTAACTAGTTAATTGGGCACCTGTTCATCACATTTATTAACATCTTTCTATAGGTCTAAAGCTTTTTCTTGGTGCAGGAGTATGTATGAAGAGAAAGGCAGATGCTTTGGTAGAAGATGGACAGGTGAAGGGACTTAAGACGAACTATTCTGTGTTTTTGCTTTTCTGTTATGTTAATCCAGTTCTTTCATATTTCATGAAAATTTACTAAACCTGACTCATTACAAATCTCTGTATATGAGCTTCAAATCCATTAAGCTGGTCCTATTTTAAATTTTTTCCATCTTTAACTATGCTTAGGAATTGTTGATCAGTTTCTACACTGGTTTTTCTTTTTTTTTTTGTTTGCATAATGTTGCAAATGCACATAATTGGACATGGTTATTTTTTTAACTTTTAATGAAAACAAATTAATTAAGTTCTATTTCTTGCCATTGCAGTCTGTCCATACTATTCAACCGAAAGATCAACAGGCTATGATTTTGTTGGAACAAAATAAGAAGCTTCGGACACAGTGAGTAAATAGGATAGGAAGTATATTTGATGGTTTAGATTTTTTCTCTATCCAACGCAGAAGTCTCATGTTTAAGTTTCAAAATGCACTAATTTTCCTCCTCGTTTATCTGTAGATGTTCAGAGTATGAAAAGCGGGAGGAAGAACTTAATCTCAAGGTACAACTGGAACCAATGACATCGTTATGTATTATTGATTTTGGAAATGCTTTTGAAAATAGAATTTTAAATGAAACTTTTTTCTACAAAGACACTGAATTATGTCAATTCTTACCAATAAAATTGAACTGAGTTACTAGCGAAATAGACAACGAAAATTGAACGATTTTATTCTCATTCATTAGATAATTTCTGTGATTGTCACTGGTGCAGGTCACACGACTTAGGAGCGATATACAAGAAGTAGAACTCCAGATCTCGCGACTGTTGGATGAGCTCAAATTATTTGAAGCAGTCAAGGTTGAAGGCATTGTATAAATTTTGTATATTCTGCTGGTCCTTTCTTTTTTTGAAAGAAGTTTTTTATCCCCTTGGATAGAACAACAACAACAAACATGACCCTGTAGCTGAAACCAGAAATATTTCAACAGTTCCCATAGAAGGCCGACCCTTTTTCTCAGTCAGCAACATGACCCCTTTGGTTTTGCCCCAAGCTTTAAACTAGTTTCCTAGGATATGTGTTTTGCCCCCTTTTGTGTCGGTTCCTGTGGCGGAAAATTTCCCACTTGTACAGAAATACATACCCTCCTTGTAATATGACTGAAAATACTAACATTCATGTTAGTTATTAGTGTTTCTCGTATATAAAATATGCATTGTTTAAATTTTTGGTTTTCAAAATGGGAACTATATTTGATTTGAAGTTGATGCCTGTATTTGCTTTCTTTTTCCTGTTCTGTGACTGTGATCAACAGAACTTGTAAGTTATTAGGGCTTCTTTTGATTTTCCAATGTCCAGATTTCTTCCCGTCATTTCTCTGCTCCTTTTCCATTGTTGCTGTCTTAAATGGATTTATTGTTCACAAATGAGAAAAATGTTTTTCTAGCGACCTTAAATGGTTTGTTTTTCATTTTATAAGTTGCTGCGTTTATCAACACACTAGGTTTCGGTTGTTTGGACATTGTGAAATTTGTTGAGAATTTTTCGACTGCCATTTAATTTGTAGGCAATTAAATGAATTGTTAAATTTGAAATTATAGGCAATTTCTATCATGTGCACAGTGAAGGGTAGATTTGCAAGTTTGTATTCGGTCAAATAATGATTTGTGTTTGAAATGAGGGGATGAAATTTTATAAAACATGATTTACTTAATTTATTTTTGATATGTAATTATATATTTATATTTTTTGTTAATTAATTGGTTTGAATTTATTTATCATGCTTCTAAGTTAAAAGAAATACTTATTAGTTGATTAGAATATAGTTCAATTAGTTTTTTTTTTTTTTTGGGTATAACAATTTGGGGTATGTGACACAGAAGGAGTGCTAATTATTGATGAGCAGCATTGATGAGCACTATTCAGCGAGCTTCCACCCTTGTTCTATAGAAATGGATAGAAATGCCACCCTGTTGTTCCAAACGTGTCTTGGTATATATATAATCTCGATCAAAATATTTGAATTCAAGAGAAAAACATATGATTAAGATTCTCTCCTCTTTCGGCTTGGTCAATTTAAATGGGCTTTGGACCTGATGGGCTGTCATAAGATTCTCTCCTCTTTCGGCTTGGTCAATTTGAATGGGATTTGGGCCTGATGCAGACAGCCCATTATGCATGGGCCGTCTTTAACCGTATTGGCTCTCCATCACGCAGACAGTCTTATTTTGCAAACTTATTTTCACAAATGATCTAATATTTATAAATTTTACGGTCTTAGATGTCTGAATTTAAAACTTTTTTAAATATTAAATTTGCTATTATAATTTGTCTTTTATTTAAATGCGAAAGATTAATATTCCAAATTTCATTTTGTAAACATTAAATTATTGTGGGATTTAAATCAATTATTCTCATAATTACCTAATTTACTTCTTAATATATTCTACTAAAGAGTGAAATTTATTACAAATATTTTTTCATTTTATTATCGTTTTTTTTTGCCAAATTTCAACAATATAGCCATTATAACATACACTTTTATATAATATATAAAAACTATATCCGACTACTTTTTAAGTTATATGGAAATATAAACTATATTCGGCTATACACTTAACAATGGTGATATAAATTATAGCAATTATAACATACACTTATATGGAGATAAAGTATATACGACTGTATCCCTCTACAATTAACAAACAAAGTAAATAACATACAAACTTTCCTGCACTAGACAATGGCCAGGATAAACGGAGGGCTGGAATGATCGACGGGCGGCCGATGACAAAAAAAAAATCTCGGGATAAACAGACGGAAACAATGGACGGGCGGCCGACGACAAAAAAGAAACCTCAGGATAAACAAACGGAAACAATGGATGGGCGGCCGGAGACGAAGGAACGTAGACGGCGGCCGGAGACGAAGGAATGTAGACGGTGGCCGTAGACGAAGGAATGGACGGAAACAGAACGATTGAAGAAGAAGAAAAGTTGGAGGAATGAGGTTTTCGAATTTTTTCAATAATGGAGGATTTTGGGGCTTTAATATTTTTCACTTTGGAAAGTCTAATTAGACCAAGGAATTTAAAATGTAGCCTCGGAAGTAGTCAATTTTGGATTTTTAAAATTAATTAATATTGTGGTGAGATACAAAAAGATATATTAGTAAATTGGGTGATGGATACCATCAAGTTGTTTCATGACAAAGTTTAAAGGTTAAATATATTTTTTAGTACTCGATGTTTAAAAAGCTTTAGCGTAATACATTATGTTTTAATATTTTTCAATTATATCTTTATTGTATTTTTACAAGCATAATAGTAAAATTGATTTAGGATAAATTTATATGACATGATACTCAACAGAAGAGAGTTTATAACTAACTTCTTCAAATTTCTAAGAAGTTTGTAAGAATTTCGACTCTTCGTCTTTTAGATAACCAAATTTATCTTCTAAATTTGTATCAACCAATTTAAGTTATCATGTCATATAAGTTTATAATCAACTAGTTTAAAAATTCACCGATATTGAAAAATGTAAAAATTGAAATAATTAAATTGAAACTTTTTAAAATTAGAGTAAAAAATCTATTTAGTTAGAAATGGAGTATTTAAAACCGAATAAATAAAAAGAAAACGGTGATCGTTGATTTGGGTAATTCCCGCGATGGACGGTCGGATCGAGGAGTTAAATTTGGAAGGAGTTGATGAGTTTGGAAAGGATTGGATGTCCAATCTCTCCCACGCAAAGCAAATATTTAAATATATAAAAAACAAAAGAAGAAAATGCAAGTTGGCAAGTTGCTCAGTCACACCATAACCATTCACATGGCCGGGCAGGGGCAGCCTCAGCGATGACCCATCTTCGGAAGCAGCAACCTGCCCGAAACCTTACCAGAGCAAACCAATGTTTTGCCCTAGAATGCAATAATGCCTCACCTCTCACACTATATAAACTCCACAAACTTGTTCTTATTCCTCAGCCATCTGTGTAAACTAGTTTTCCTCGCCGCTTTCGCTTCCATTCTTGTATATGATAGACTTTTAGAGCTCGCTTCAGTTAAGATTGATTGATCGACTGTTCTTTTGTTTTTTTTTCTCTTCTTTTTTATGGTGATTTTTTTGTTCGTGCAAAAAACTTCCATCCGCGTGCGACATTTGAAGGTGGACATGGCGGCCATATTTTGCACAGATCGACAGATCTAATAAAGTAGTTGATATGATCTCTGCTTTGTTTGCTGCTTCTGGAAGAGCTTTACGAAGCTTTTTTGTTCTCCTCTTTCAGATTTTTCAGCATACATCTTTTACATTCCAATCATTAGTTTCGTTTTTGAACTTCGGATTCTGTTTCCTGAAAGAGGCTTTTGGATTGGATCTTTTACTCTGCGGAGTGTGGAACAAGCTTTTTTGTTTTGGAAGGCTAGTCCAGTTCATTGGGGCTTTTGCTCCAATCTCATAACGTATTTGGTCTTCCTTCTTACATTGAATTGTTACGGTTCGTTGGTTGGTGGTAGTTCAATTCCTCATCTCCTTTGGTCTTTTGCGGCCTTTTTTTTTAAATAAATAAATAAATAAATAACTGATTTAATTTTAAATATACGTTAAATCGCATCTTAGGAAACGATTTTTGTAGAACGTTTATAGAGAGGGATTTTTGTTTCTCTTCCATATTTTACATCATTTTTCCAAATCGTTCAGGATAATTTTGGTTTCTCTGCTTACAACTTTTACTCATTTTTTACTCCTATGCATTTAGAAGGTCTAATTTAATCCCTGTAATTTTAAGTTTTGTCTATTTTAAATCTTGATACATTATGAAAATAATCCTTTTGATTTATTTATTTTTTAATCACAATTTTAATACGATATTATAAAATCATGATTGAAAATGGTGATTAAAATGATTGTATTTTTAAAGATGTTTTGTATATGGATTAAAATGAACAAAAGTTGATAATCTGAAAATCAAAATGAATAATTTAAAAGTATAGAACTAAAGTTGAATTCAAAGCGAGCATAGTTCAGTAGTAATTGACATATATTTCCAATCAAGTTGTGAATTCGATCTTCTACCCCTAACATATTATACTAAAAAAACTAAAGTTGAAAGTATAAATACTAAAATTGTTATCTAAAAAAATAATAAAGTATTAAAATTGTATTTAGATGTTGAACAAATAATAAATATTAACCACAAATCCAAAATAATTTGTAGTGCAAAGTTTTCCTTTTTAGAATACAATATTACTGTCACGAGGGTTGCAAGTTATTTTATTATTTTTTTAGAACACAAATTAAACATTTAAATGTGAGGAAATTCAAGTTTAAAAATTGATATAAATCAATTAAATTTCATAAAAATCAATGATTAAAATAGTAAATAGAAAAATAATTTGTACTAATAAAAGATAAATAATTTCAAAAGATATAATATAGTTGGGAATTGTCAATTTCACTATTTTTCTCAATAACTATTATGATTTTTTTTAATGATTTTTTTTTCTTCATGAACTTAACATATTCTCCATTTAAATAAACAAATTGTTGGACAAAACTTTGATTTTGTGAACCTAAAAACCTGATACTAGAATCTCCAGAAAAGGCACAAAAATCCAGTATAATAATGTTAACCCTAGACCACAGAAGGCTCATTCTCCAACAAAATTTGCTGAAGAATTTTGATGGAATTGATTCCAAGCATATATAAAACAAAATATACGATTCAAATCTAGTTAGAAACGAACAAAATGAAGAAAAGTAGTTTAGGAGAATATAATTCCTGTACCCTACAAACTAACTTATATGATAGTATAATAACAGCAACAGAAATACTATATGGCCATGACAGATTGACTTTACAGTTGCTCCACTTACAAGTAACACAAACCATACTTATCAACATGAGCTAAAGCATATATCTTCAACCAAAAGGTAAGTCGGAATTTCGAATTCTCATTCTCACATGTTAAACTCTATATAAAGAACATAGACCGTTACTTTTCATGAAACACAACAATACGCTCACATTCCATCCTCACATCCAAAATGAAGTTCCTAACACGATTTCACAAATATGAAGCGTTGTGAATTGTTCCAAACGGGGTCTGAATGAAGAAGAGAAGGGGGTACTAAAAATTTTCTTCTTTCTGCAAACCATAAGAAGCCTGTTCGTTCAAAGGAAAAGAAACAGTATAAAAAGCACAGGAACATTCACCATCTTCTTCAATCTTTCATTCTCTCTTTATCATATCATCATCATCCACAAGTTCCCACATTAGCATTTCAACTTGCAGTCACAGAGCAATATGTTTCAATGGACATTCAATTCATCGACAGCGGTGTAGCAGAAGAACGAGCACAGAAAATCAGGTCCACAATTTATTATGTTCACTGCAGTTTGGTCCTTTTGAACTCACTAATCATCATAGCATTCATTGCATCGTCGTAGCATTTGACGGGAAATACCTCATAAGAAAGCTGGAGAGAGACCAAATGCATATTATCCCGAGACCTTGAAGAACATTCAACAGAGTACCTAGAGAGCTGTTTATTGCCAAGTTGTGTGGGGTCATTTCAGCTCCTTTTATGGTAAATGATAGTGCTGTCACCAGTTGAGCTGCTCTATTGAGTTGATGCAATCTATAAACCTGTTTAACAAGATCTCTTAAATTCAATCGCAAGGATATTGGATGAATAAGATTAACAAAAGGAATTATAAATTATATATAATCACTGGTAATGATAAACTAATACAAATTTTCGTATACAGTAACTAATGATGAGATACGAATGTTCTTACTTGAAAGACAACTGGAATTACAGGCCATGAAGGCGATTTCTTGCGCCGTGCATACTGTTCAAATGCAAATTGGACAACAATGCCAACAAGGTAAGGTGCAAGAGTTGCAGATGCCGCAGGGCCGGTCCATGGCCACACTAATCCCATAGTGACCATAGGTATTATTAAACTGAGTACTAAGGTGGCTACAGAAGAGATCCTCTGTCCAAATTGATTAGACAGGGTTTCATAATAGTTTTTCACAGTATCGGGTTCAGTAGGCCTCCTTGAACAGTCTATTAAGAAAAGAAACACCGCAACACCACAATAGAACAGTGCTTCCGTGAAGAACAATATAAGGAAGTCTGCAATCAGAAGATAGTTTGTTTACAATGGAGGATCTCAAACGCCAAGTAAAATTCCAACAGAAACAAAGTTTCATCGAATAAATATTTAGCATGAGCAAATAAATTTCATATTTAACAGAGCATGAAACTTTTTAAGAAATCACAAAACTCCTTTAAGATCTAAGAGTAGTGCCTACTACAATCTCCATTGCCCTGAATATTCTGGAAGAATGAATGAATTTGAAAACATCTTAACTCCATTGCTTTTGTACATAAACACAAAAAAGAGCCATATTAGATGGTCCATCTAAAATGTCTCCTTTGGCCTGTATTGGCTTTGCTGATAAGGAGCATGTTCACACACAGGAAATATTACTTAGTATACATAAATAAACTAACATAGTAAAGAGACTATGGATAAAAGAAAGTGTACCGACCTGTCAGCAGAGAGTCCTCAAAAATATTTGAAAGTATTTTCCGCAGATAAAGAGAGGGGAAAATGAAAGAGGCTACGAGGACAGCAGGACCAACAAACCATAAGAAATTGTATTCATTTCTTTGTGTGCTAGACAAAGGAACCCGATTTCCTTCTTTATAAGAATGGTTGTAAAATGAGATAAACCCGGGTTTCCCACCAGTACCCTCATAATATAAAAAGGAATTGTTCTCAAGAGAGATATCTTCATCAGTGGGATGCTGATTTACTTGCTCTGGATCAACTAACTCGCTGCATAGAGTCGACTGGTCCTCTGAAATAGCAGAGAGAACATTTTGCCTCTTTGGGAATCCTCTCCAAGACTTCAGCGATCCATGCACTAACTTGATTGATTCAACTATCCACAATTCCAAAAGCAAACCAAGAAACATATCATTTAGGAGTAGGAAAAAACATCAAAAGCATTGGACTTGATCAAAATAGACAGTCTGGGGAAATATATCACAATAGGCATATCTCACCAGGTAACCCACAGTGTGAACAGATAACTAATAATAGATATGGTGGTGGCTATGAGAAGTCTAGAAAATAGAAACCAGATGGCCCATTTTATAGCCATTGTGTATATAAGGAAACAACCTGAGGGTCAGAATAAAGCTTTAATTGCATGTTATAATAGGAATTTATAAATACAAGAAAATATAAGGAAAACCTACCTTTAGCAAATGTTAGCCTCTGGAAATTATGTTGCTGGCTACCATATAATCCTTGTGACAAACTCAGCTGAAAACCAAAACAAAAACACAGAGCCCATCAAATCAAATAATATATTTAAGAAAAAAATTGAACAGTTCATATAGCGCATAAAGTGACAACAACAATTTCAATATCATAACATTTTCAAACCGGAATCCCCTCACTAGTCGTAGAAGTCAAAGTAAAAGGTTAGAGATAACAAGATCCTCAAAAAAGATATCATATCCGGATGGCTGTCAGCTAAAGTTGAATGATTGAAGTCTCCTTCAAGTTTAGTCGAAGAGATCAAAGCAAAGTCATCAACTCAACCATTCACACCGTATACCGACCTCTTTTCCAAATAAAGTGACTCGATAACACAGGCACAAGACCTTCGAATGCAAACAAAGAATAGCAAGACCGCATATCAAAAGGTTTGGAACCCAAGCCATTCTAGATTCTTGATAAAGATAACACCAGAGCACGCCTGAGCAAAATCCTAAACCTAGCTTATGTTTGCTTACTGTGCTATTAAATTTACCATGGCTTTCTAAGCCTAATTTGTGTCTGCTTCGAAATACATTTAAAACCACAGCAGCAACTACTTCTCTCACTCCACGCCCATGAGAGAAAGAAAACAATAAAATTAAAACAAAGAAACGAGGGTTCTCATTCACAAGAACAATGTTGAAACATCAGTTTACAGAGAAAGCATTAACAAATGAGCAAGACCGAAAATCACCTGTAAGCTTCTCCGGGTGTCAGAAGGTGAAGGAAGAGAAGGAAGCGAGCAAGAAAAAGAAGCGAATTTGACAGACATGTCCAAGAAAGAGAAAAAAGGTTAAGCAGCCAAGTCCAGTACCGAGTCTACCAATCCATTTGCGAGGCAATTGAATTTGAAGTACATTTGATGAATACCCATGAGGAAAATTCTTGAGCAGAGAAGGAATTCGACGATTTTCAGAGGGTGGGTTAAGGAGAAAATAGGAACAGAGCGGAGCCGCAGCCGCCGCCTCCTTGTCCTTGGTAGTGTCTATTGGTAGCCTCAAGCGGCGGGTCAGGGACACTGGACAGGGTGAAATTTAATAATAAAAAAATTTGTATTTTCAATTTTCCAAACTCTAATTTCCATCTCTCGTCGCCTATCGCCGAGAGGACTGATTCGCCTTCGCCTCGTCTCGTGTCGCGTGGATAAATTTCTTATAATTTTCCTTTTTCTTTTCTTTCCAAGTAAAAAATTCACTTTGTTTTCTTTGAATGATACGAAATTTACATTTTACTATTTTATTTATACAGAATAAGTCAAGAATTACTTTTTTAAAAAAAACTTGACCCATTGACAAGACAAGGACCAAATTTTAGAACTCAATCATTCAATTTTTTTTTAAAATCTTTATTTTTGTGTTTCTTTCTCTTAGTATATTCAACGGTAGTGAAGACAAAATTGTTTATTTACAAATATTTAAAAAAAAACGTCCAACTTTCTTGCATTTAGATTGATTCTTGGATGTATTGAGGTACTGATGTGCGATTTTTTTAAGCCATGCCGAACACGTGATTCATGATGAACATGCCTATCCACCTTTTCTTTGGTTAATTATGTGTTGTTTTAACATTTAATATCAGAACTAATTGGAATAGTTTTCTTTTTCTTCTTCAGTTCAACAAGGAATAATTTTAATATAAATGTGTTAATCAAGGCAAGGTTTTGATCTCTGGACGGCCGGCCGTCGAAGCTTTTAGTCAAAGGGTGTCCAGTGAATATCACTTATCATGGTGTTTAATAGTAACATATAGAATCCACCTAGTACTAATGGAAATCTACATAATAATAATAATAATATTATTATTATTATTATTATTTTGAAACATGGAATCTACATATTATTATTATAGATAAAAATGTAATATATACGGAAGTTTTGACCTTCTATCCTTAACTAATTGATCTATACTAAATTGACTTGAAATGGAACTTCTTCGAGTATACGTGACAATATTATTATCTATTTTTATTATCTAATCATTTTTAGCTTAAATTTTTTTATTTCATTCCTTTAAAATTTACATTTCAATAAATCACATATTACAACGTTGATTAGACCCACACCCATTATTGTTGAACTAAAAAAAAGTACAGTTTAAAACTCACTATTTTTGTGGCATTAGTTTTCAATCACATGATTTTGAAAGTTTAATTGAATTTGAATGATATTTCGTTGATTTATAGGTAATTTTCTGATATAGTTTTGGAGAGGTATTGATTACTGCACTTAATGGAATTCAAGGTTTAATCTGATGAAATAAAAAATTAAGATTAAAATTGACTTACTAAGTAGGAGGATAAAATAATCTTTTACCAAAACAAATTATTACATTACAAATAAGAGAACGAGACTTGCATCTATATGCGATAACTTGCATCTATATGCGATAACTTGTACTTAATTACCGGATGTATTGATAAGTTGAAGATAACTAACCTAGTTAAAACATTAAGTAATATTCTACAAGATCAAAGGTTTAAATCTCACTCATTATTGATGTACTAAAAAAAACTAATGAGAAGATGTCCAAGTTGATCTATAGTTTGAACTATATAATATGACTATTTTAATTTGAAATTTTCAAATTTCATTTGAGTTAAAAGATTCAACTAGCAAAGATTTGGAATCTTTTGATCATACTGATTTAGGAGTATCAAGTTTGAATTTTCTGGTGAGTTTAACATAAAAAATCATTGATGTCTCCTAGTCAGACGCGGGTGCCTAGGTATAAAGAAGCAAAGCTCCGACTCCCCATTCAAATATATATATATATATATATATATATATATATATATATTCTTTTTTTCAATCTATGATAATATTCTTACCTTTAATACATTCAAGTTTTTAATTATAAATGGCAGTATGGATATATTACCAACATGACCAGCATGGTAAATCATCCATCCACTCTATGGACAAAGGTTTCTAAAATTAATAAATCAGTCAACAGATAAGATTCGTGTGCAGAATTCTTGTAAATCAATATTCATTTAATGAAATTATAAATTTCTAAATTCGTGCAGATGATAGCACGCTAAGGATTATGAGACAGAATCAAAGTTTCAACTTTCAAGGAGAGTCAAATTAGATTTATGGAGCATGCGGCTCAAAAATTCCTAGAAACCTATTAGAGAGGAGAACAAAAATGAACTAATCTAAACCCCATTTATGAATTGAGGATGCCTCCATCTCATCATAAGACTACAGAACGCCTGCCAAAAATGGTTATGAAATTGATACAAACAGAGATTTCTTTGAGAAATTTGGAACTAAAGATGCAGCCTTGCAAGAATCACAGAAATTAACAGCTCTGATTACATTAACTACCTCAAGCTGAAGGACGAAGTCGGCACGAAAAGACGAGTGGTTGATTGGTTTTAAAAACGTCCACCTCTGAAGATCTTAGCTTAGCAAACTCCGGTTCCCTTTAAATGACGGTTTTCCATCAAATTACATCTAAACGAGATTAGCTCTCTTTAGGAACCTGATTGCTCTGTAATAATATGGCCACACAGATTCTATAAAATCGAGGTACCTCTCCATAATCCATTCTTGCATAAAAATGAACTTTCTTCTTGACAACTCTTTGTAATGGAGGCTCCTAATGTTCACTACAGGTCGCCAAACCCGAGCTTGTACCTCCTCTTTAAGTATCCTCCCTTGGGAAACATATCCACAGACTACCTCGTAATAACAGGGCAAGTTTTTCATCAAAGTAGCAGTTTGCTTGAAGCTCAAGATAGAGAGATCACACAACCAGTGAAACATCTTTATGTAGAAAGCTACAATGAATGGCCCAAATACCCATAAAGGCATCAGTTCTTTTGAAACTTGAGCTCCATAAAAGATTTTGATTGTCAGATACAAAGGAATGCTGCAGATTACAAAGAACAATTAGAAAGAACAAACTTCTATAATTTGCAGCATTGGTTCATACAGTAAGATAACTACTATCTATATGGTAGGTTTTTTTTTTTAATTTAATTTAATTTTTATTTTTATTTTTATAACAGGGAGTCGGAGCTTTGCTCCCCTATACCTTGGGGCACCCACGCCCGTCCTAAGGTCCGAACCTGAGAGTGGGAGACATAAAGGATTTTTGGTATTATTGGTATTAAGCTGACCAGAAGGTTCGAACATGAAACTTCTAAAGCCAGTATGAAGAGACCCCGAGCCCTCGTCAACTGGGCTGCCCTAGGGCATGGTAAGATATATTCTATGATGAAGACCAGAGAGAGAGAGTTCTTGTGAGGAAAAGAAAGGAGAGAGTAATACGCAGAGAGTTTAGTACTTACAACATCAGCAGAGGAATTTTAATCATCGGATCCAGGTTGAGAAGGTAGAACCAAACTGCTTCTACATGCGACTCTTGTGGAGTTGCTGATGATTCCCTCAATGACATCCCTCCCAAAATCCCATCCACTTCTTCACTTGGTTGTCCAGTATGCAACATTTTCAGGCATTTCCTGAATACTTCATTAATAGAAGGGGGTGGTGCAATCCCATTAACTATTCCAGATGTATAAGATAGCCGAATGTTATCTGCGTTCAAAGAAACATCACCATCCTCTTTAGTGTCCTTTGGAACTCCAAAAAAAATTTCTTCATCTCCTGATTCACCATTTGGCACACTGCTTTTGAAGGCTGATATTCTTCTCATAAGCTTAAATTTTGATCCGCATCTGGATGAAGTCCCTGAACTGTAATAAAGATCTCTGAGTTCATTTAGTCAAGGGACTTCCATGTACATGCCCATTTGTGTGGACACAAAATCTCTGCTGCATGTACAGGAGCTCTTCAAGCGCAAAGTGAAAGAACAAGGTTTAAAGTGAGACAGAGTTCTTTTGAAAACCCGTCTGGACGTCACGATTTAAACTATTTCATGCCATAAATAAAGGGCACTGACCTTAACCGGATCTTTTGCTTTAACTGCATACACCTATCAGCTTTCAGAAACAAATTTGAAGTCTCTTCATGTTGCTTCAACTTCATTCCCTGGCTCCATGGAAAAATACTCAACGATGTCGTAATGGGACCCTTGAAACACAAGAGAAAAACATTTTAAAACTTCACAAGAATCCTGTAAAAACTTAAAGGAAAGTTGAAATGGATGACATGGTAAAGTTTTCCACGGTATTTAGAGAAAAATGCACAATATAGAAACTTTAGGGATAACTCGCATGTAATCTATCCCAAAGATTCCTGCACAAGTTCACCAGCACAACAACGGTGATCATAATATGTTATGCCTTCAAGGCCCTTTCATGGTAGAAGAATGAGATGTCAGGTTAACCATATAAAATTTTCAAGCCGCAGCCAAGTTATTGGAGTTGGGGGGTGTTCAGGTCCACCATGACCTCTCGGCGGCGCAAATAAAAAGAATGCATACAGCATTGAGATAAATCTTAATCATGTTGAAGAAAACAGAATATGAGTTCATTTGTTAAGTATTAATCAACATTATACGCATCAATGCCTAGTGTCACAAAATTGAGTTGTATGCATTATGTTCTTATGTTACACAGATCCTCTCCAAAAGTATTATTCGTGGTATGTATCGTGGTGAAACCAGGTCCAGGCATTGTGGCATTGGATGAAATTTGGAGACTGGTCAAAGATGCTTTAAGATACCTGCAGTTTGTGAGTAACCAACGACATAGAATCCACCCACCTCAAATGTCAAATCATTCAATACACAAGGCCGAACTTAATAGAAGTTTATCAAAACAATATTATTCAATAAAGTATAACGATTAATAACCTATTAAGTTGGGCCTTGTGTTAAACTAACTTTGTATTACCAAGCCAAACAAAAACAGCCTATAGGCCATAGGGCATTAAAAGAAAAGACCTCCAGTCTAAATTGATGAGAAAAGCAAGAATTTAACAAAAAGATTTGTGAATCGCGCTCCAAGTTCTCTCACACTCTTCTTCTCTTTAATTTTCTCATGACCTACATCAATGGGGTTTCTCCGTTGAAAATTTGACAGAATATTGGTAACCAAGTAAAAAAAATCCCTCGTCAGCTGCAGCTGAAGCTACCAATAACCAAAAACCATCGACGACCCATGGAATAGGAACCTAAAATGTAAGAAGTTATCACAATTTTCTGCACCAAAAAAGAATGCACAAAAAGAAAAAGAACCACATAAAGTAACTAAGAATGCAGAAAGTAGGGAATCATAGAAAAGTAGAAGAATCCGAAGCTACCAGTAGAGTGGAATCCATGAGCTCGTGGATAGTGGATAGAATTGAAGAAAGTAGCCCCCGTCCACTGTAGATCCCAGTGGACAGAGGAGACAGAGGAAGGTGTGGATTGTGAATTCAGGTCATCTTATGGATAGAGACCTCCATTAATTGTCATTCTGATTCTGAAAGTGGATGAAGATGACGACCTCCACAAAGCTTCTGGTTCAACCGAAGCGATCTGCTGAATGTGAATGATATGTAACCATGAAAATTTGAGGTGCAGAAACCACCGATTGTCGTTTACAAAGTTACGAACTTTTATTATTTTTTGTTGTTTATAAAAAGGAACGACTGATTATTCAACGAGTAGTGCTATAAAATAGAAAAAAAAAAGAATATATTCTGAAGATGGATATAGTGAGTGCAATATCGATAATGGATAATAAATAACTGGAATTCGATTAACCAATTCAACTATGGTCTCAAGTTGACTGGAGCCTGGAATTTAGTTTAGTTTTTAAATCTGGAATGATCTTGAAATCATTCTAAAATCATGGATTCACTTTCAATAGCATTGTCCTCAAATAGTTCATAAATTCTTTTGAGATGTCTTAAGTGACTTTGGAGAATTTGTTATAAAAAATTTGAACAATTATGCAGTCAGTTTCTTTTCTTTTTGATAAAATGTAATCCAATAGTTAATCACAGTAAATCATTCATCTACTATTATTCTACCTTTTTTAGTCAATTCCTGATTGATTTTCAAATGAGAAATCACTACAAACAAAACTAATTGATATTTTAAAAACAAAGTATAGAACAGACTAAGGTTAAGTGACACAAAGAATCAATAGCAGATTCGAATCTTCATTCCGTAGACAATTTCCCAGATCATTTTTGAGGGAGAGAGGCCCTTTTTGGGCAGACTTGAAAAGATAGATTAGATAGTGGCGAAGAATCAGAATGCTTCTCTAATTCATTCCCTCTGTCGTTGTTCCACAAGTGAAGGAAATAAAGAAATGTCATACATACACGGCTAAAGGGGAGTGGGGGAGAGGGGGAAGAAGGAAAAGAAAAAACAATTATGTGAGGGTCCATTCCCAACATGCAACTTGTGAGCACAAATTAAACTGGTTCATTTCATATCAGAATAACCTACAAAATAAACAGAGTCTGAGCACCTCCTCCACCCCAACTCCAAACGGTTTCCTCCTGCACCATCAAATCTGGCTCCTACTACCCTGCCTGTGCTCAATGCAGTTCCACACCTTCAGCAGTTCAGCTTAAGAAAATATTAGACTTTGCCAAAAGAAAATCCATAAAACGAATTGGAAAACTAATATTTCTCAAGTACCTGATCCATAAACCGGAGGGGCGCGGCGGGGTCGAACAAAGAAAATGTATTTGGAATCGCCAAATTATGCTAAATATGACAGGTATCTAATCAAACAGGTCCACTTTGTTGCTTGTAAGAGTTCCCACCATCTCGTCTGGAGTGACCTTGGCCCCTCTCCACGTACCTTGAGCCCGAATGCTGAGGGGCATCCTTCGGTCTATCCATGTTTGGTTTACCATTGTGTGGCCCAACTGGTTGGTACTCGTACTGCAAATTTTGTCTTTGCCTGTCTCTATTAGTAGGTGGATGATAATTTTGCTTATGATGTTGAGAGGAATTCCTTTCCCTACGAGATTCCAATCCTCTTCCAAAGCGGTTGTTGTTATCGCCGCCTTTATGGTAAAATGAAGGCACTTGTTGCTCGTGTCTGACATCTGTGTTTGCTGGGGCAACCTCAACTGAATGAATAGGGCCTTGGTTTGGGGAGTAAGGACGCTCCTTCCTAGAAGAAATCTTCTTCTCTACCTTGGCCCCATGATGACCAACATTTGATCCCTCTTCTATGATGGTCCTTGCACCAATAGAAGAATCATGCTGATTATGGGCCTCGTCATCACTCATCTTTGTGCCATATGAAGAGAGCCTAGATCCCATTTTATTAGTCTGTGCAGCTTCAGCATCAACATTTTGATCACCACTATGCTTGCTACTTTGTTGATTGTAGGGTTGAACCATCCGTGATTTGGGTTGCCAATGAGATGTTGATCGCTCCCCAACACCCCGGTTTTCTTTAGCAGCAGTAGTTACATCTTTTTGATCTGCCTCAGGCACTGAAGATTCTGTAGAAATTTTTTCGTTGTCTACACTTCTAATTTTTTTTTCATTCAGATCATAATTGTTCCCTACACCCTTATGCCCCTTAAATTGGGATCGCTTTCCCCTGCCTGTCACTCCCTGGTCTCTTCCCACAGCTACAGGGACAGGTGGAATAGATGCCGAGTAGTTGGGATCATTCCACCCATCAGGTGGATCCCACTCATCAACATAACTCGTGAATTCATTGGTGGAGCTTCCGGCAGCCTTCTCAGGTACTTGATAATCACTTAACTTTTGAAAATTACTACCAGCATTTGGAACATAAGATGATTGATCTTGTAAGCCTTGCCCATTTATTGATTCCGTTGCTCCCCGTTGCCGCCATGATGCATGAGCCTTGCTTTGTTTATGGTGCCTACCATCCCCATTTCTGTGATCTGTGGAAAATCCCACATTGCCAGAAACAGCAGCAGTAGACCGAGTATTATCAGAACTTTGAGAACTAGAGTCTGCCTTGTTATCATCTGGTGCCTGGTTCATGGGAAAAATATCTTGATGAATGGTTCCTTGCTGTGCCATTTCTTTGGCCACAGGCTTCGGTACATATATCTCCCTTTCAGCTCGCTTATTTTTTGGGATATTTTGCACTTGATTGTCAATCTTTACAGATGAAGCAACAGCCTCAGCTTCATTCTTCTGAGCAGCTTCATCGGGAGCCTCACATTTGTTGAGAGACCGCACAGGGGCCCAGATAACAGAATCACTGCCGTGGATTTTTTCTCCTGCTCTATTTTGTGAATTTCTTGGCATCCTGCGAGAATGCTGAGACTTCCACTGACCATTACCTTTGCCAAGAGTCTCAACAACTGGCAACAGAGGTAACTGCTCTCTGAGCTGATTTTCATCTCTGATAATTGATGATGGTAGTGGATCTGAAGGTGGATCCATTACAGGCTGAGAAGCCTTTAGTTTATCATGTTCCGTTGTAAGATTCACTTCTTTTGAAACTTGAGGTGCTTTTGAAATTTGAGGTGGTAATGTAGATGTCGAGGCCTCTTCCACTTTATGTTTGTTCTTCCCACTCTTGTTATTTTTCTTTCTTGTAAGCGTGGAAGATTCAGCAACAGGATCAGTAATGAAATTGCTCGACTCCTCTACAACTGTATGAACGTCAGCAGCAACAGTCTGACCTTTTGATTCCTTAATTAACTGGGAAAGCTTTTCGGTCTTTTCAGATGGGATATTTGGTTTTTGTTTATTTCCTGCACGCTTATGCTTCAAGGATGCACCACCCCCATGTACCTCCGAAGCATTCTTATTTTGAGCGACATCAGAAATATTCACCTCCTGCTCCAAAGATCTCAATTGATTATGTGCCACAACCTGTTCGTTATTGCCACCACTTGGTTTCTTCAATGTTGTATCTCCTGATACAATGGGAGAATTTTTATTCGTGCCAATAGTTGACTCACTATTGTTAGCAACCACGTGTGGATCAGAAACTATAGCTGAGGTATGCTCTCCAGATATAGTACCAACTGTTCTTGGGTTACCTAAATTTCGAGGTTCTTCTATCCTACTTCTTATGGCATCATTAGAAGTATTTTCAGGCCACTGAGCTGGCCCCTCCCCTGCAACTGCACGCCTGTTCAACTCTTCAAGTTTTGCCAAGGCCCTAGCCCTCTGTTTTCTTGTCCTTTCCTCCTCTTCCTCCTGCAGTTGTTTGGTGCGTTGCTTTGCTAGTTCTCTCATCTTTGTACGCTAATTGAAACAAAATAGAACAATTTTTATAAGAAAAAAAATGTAGACAAAAGAACCAGCAACCACATAAATCAAACATATACCTGAGCTTGACTATCTTTTGAATCACCTATAGATGGGGCAGCCACATCTCCATGGCTATCTGAAGAAAACAACTCAGCCTTATCAATAACCCCTAAACCATTGTGGTCTCTTGCAAGAACAGGATTTTCTTGGTTGGAAGTTGCCATCATTCCTGGGAATTCCAACAGAGGTCTTTTATGCCACCCATCGACCTCCTGTGTATGGACCTTTCCTCGACCATGATGATCATTTCTCCCATGCATTCCACGATTAGGCCTCCTGCACATTTGAAGAAATATTACATATTCTCAACACCTTCGACAATTTTAATCAAGCAGGAATTAGACAAACCTGTTGATGGACGCTCCACTGTGTAATTTAACGTTCCCATCTCCAGTGGAAATGCTCAATTCACTGGAGGCAGGGTCTCTTACTTCATTAAAATTCCTATTTTCAGGAAAAACAGTACTTGCACCAGCTTCATAAGCAACAAAATGATCGGATTGCTTATCATTTGATTGAAACTCATTTGGCTCCTCCCTGCTGGAAATAGATGCAACATCATGTCGCATATCAGGAGCCCGGGCTTTGGCATTTAATCCCTCTATCTTCTGAATCAGACTTGAATCTTTCGTGGCAGTAGCCAGCGATTTGGGAACTTCAGAGAAACCAGAAGCAGCAGCATCCGACTTTTCTAGTGAACTATCACTGGTCCTCGCGCTTCCATGAGACTTGGCTTTGATATTTTCAGAAGATGCTTGGTTGGCAGAAGCCCGAGAAAAAGGTTCCACCCCAAATGTTCTGCTCCTCAAATCAGCTTCCTTTTTATGATCCCAGTCATTCTCCCAAGGAGACAGCCTCTGTTGGTCGGGCTTCTCAAGAATCAACTGATTAGTCGTCGAGTTTACCCTACTTTCTTCTTCGTTCTTACCATTTAAATTGCCCTGCTGCTTCAGAAGAACTTTGTATGGTCCTTGATTATCACAAGGAAGACCAGATTCTACTTGTTCTGGAACCAAAGCCTTCCCACTAGAACCATATCCACTGGATAAACCATGGGAACTTGTAGGCTCAGAGGCACTTTGGCCCATGTACCTGTTGTAAACAGCAGGCCCAGCAGGCCCAGAAGGCATTCCCATAAACGGAGCATCTCTATCATTTGAATTGCAGTAGCCCATTGGAGGACGGTAATATCCCTCGTAGGAAACTGGACCTGGGTAAAATCCAGGTCTAATTGACACACCTGGGTGAATAAAAGCATCATGCATAGGAGGTCTGTATATATCTCCAGTTTTAGGATGGTGTCCCCTGGGTCCAGTTCCATGAGGAGGCTGGGGATTAGGAAGACCACCAGGGGGAATCTGTGGAGGATAATACATAAATGGTTCCATAGGGAAACTACCAGGAGCAACAGGAGTTCTATACGGAGGACCTCCTTGAGGAGGACCTCTATACCATACACCACCTTGAGGATTGTTTACTGGAGAACCATGCCAAGCATCATAATGTGGGGGAGGAATATTTGCACCAGGGTAAGGTTGGGGATGTCCCAGCCATTTCTCTACATTTGGCCTAGACCCATCATCGTTGTGTGGAAGATTATCACTTCTCCAGGAATTAACACTTGCAACATTTGTAGTTGCATTTTTAGGATCATCTGAAATTTAAAAGATGGTTGAAGTAAACAGCTCTATTATATAAGAAAAGGATAGAATTCTGAAATTGGCAGGAGGCACACAACACTGCACCATCCTGATTAAAAAAACTACCACACACCAGTTGCAGAAGTTCCGGTCCTCTCTTTCACTGTAGCTCCTCCATTAGACCTGTTATCTGTGAAATGAAAAATTCATGTCATTTTCAAGAGGCACCCCTTCTTCTGCTTACATTTGTGATGTATATGCTACTTTAACAAATCAACATAAAAGTAATAACCAACAATAAGGTGTTATATTGTTGACATAATAAGAACCAGACAAAAAAGGAATCTTGGACTAGCCACAGGCCACTCTTAAATCCTTAAGTTTGCTCACTGGAAACATCTAGAAAAGGTTTGAATTGCAAGCAGAAAACCTCAAATATAAACGAAAAGTGGCACTAAAAGTTCAGTAACGAAAAAAGGCAAACAAGAAAGGCATATGAGATCCACATTACATCAACCAATATCATATCATGGACTCCTCCCCAACAATAAGGCTACAGAATATCTAAACGGCAATTGGCACATTCATGGCATGACTCAAAAATGACATCAGGCTGATTAACAAAAAGATATTAGAGAAAAGCATCAAACTCTAAGCAACGGATGCTTCAAGGTAAATTAATTAAGGTTTTTTTCTATTTAATTGAAAAACAAATGTGTTATTGATAGTATGAAATATACAACCAAGAAAAAAGTTCACAAATACAAGATATACTGCTTTAATGGTAAATGAAATTGAGTTCAAGTAACACATAAACATGGAACCTTGTGACTCGGCATCCTTTCCTCCACATTCTTTCTCTGAGCCAAGCGTAGGAAAATCTCCAGATGTCAAAGAAAACCCATCACTCTTACATGGCAATGGTCCCTATATGCATATAAATTAAGATATGAGACCATTTAAGACCAAGCTAGCAAAAGGAAAGTAAACTAAAGATGGAAAGGCAGTTGACAGTAACTTTAGTCTAAGGTCTAAACCACCTATCTAAAATAGTTCTCCAAATCCCAACCCAATCCATCTTCGGGTAGCATACTTTTAGGCCATTAGTAGATATAAAATAAATTAGCATCAAGTAGACAGGAGAAGTAAAATTAAAGACATCTCCACTAAGTAAAGACATGTCCCTAAACCCTAAATACCACATGTTACTCCTTCAATAAATTCAACCCAAAAATACTGAAGCACATAAAATCAAAAACTTTAGACCAACTAGTTTGGTCGCCAGTTTTTATAACATTATCCAAAACATTGGCAAAAAGAATTAGAACTATGTTTCCTAGTAACATCTCCCCAATGTAAGGGGCTTTTGTGGCAGACAAACAAATTTTGGATAAGGACTTGGTGGCCAATGAAGCCCTGGAAGAGTATTGAGGTAGAAGAAGGAAGGTGATGTAATAAATATAATCCGAAAAAGCATATGATCATGTAGGCTGGAGTTCTTAGACCAGATTCTTTGGTGGGGGAATTGCATTTTTAAAGCAGAGAACTTGGGTAGGGAATTGTCCTTTTTTTTCTCTTCTTCTATTCTTCTTTTTTTCTTCCTTTTTTTTTGGTAGAAAATCTTCCATTGAGAAAAATGTAAGAATACAAAGGGGCATACATAAAGATAGTTTAATAAAAGGAGCCACCCAAACAAAACTAACTATACAAAAAAGCGCTCCCCTTTCTGTAGCATCCAATTTGTCTCTTTTTTTTTTTAAACAAGAAACGACCTTCACATTGAAATAATGAAAAGGAATATAAATGTGCAACGATACAAACTCTCGAAATAGTGAAAAGAAACAAATGCAAAACACAACAACTAAAAATGGGAACAGAAAGCACCCCAATTACAGCAAATAAGAGTAGGAGAATAATTCCCAAAAAGATTTTACATAGAACACCATTCTGATGCTTTAAATTTAGCTATGCTACAGCTAAACCAATTTGTCTCATTTGCAATTAATTGACAACAATATTTTCTTTGAAGTTTTATCCAAGAACAGAGTCTTTTGGTAACTTAACAAATATTTGCAAACTTTTGAGTTTATTTCAGGGGCTCAAAGTGAGTACAGAAAGGGATCCATTGTGGGACTTCATTGTGACAAGCTAAGGCTAAGCTTAGGAGGAGTTGGGCTTCTAGGTTTCAGGGTGAAATTGTGTGGTTGCCTAATCTGTTTTTGGATATGCCCTTAGATCATAATCTTAAAGACTCTTCTTTTCAGGATCCAGTAGTTGTTGAGGTTCAGAAAAGATTTCCATCTTAGAGAAAAGATTTTTTCTCTTGAGGGAGTATAGAAATACATTGATTCAATCGATGTTGAGTGAAATTACGTTGTATTTTCTTTCCCTCCTCAAAGTTCCAGGATCGAGTAAGGAGAAATTAGAAAGGCTTGTGAAAAAAAAAATTGTGGTGGTTTCCCTTGGAATATCAAGCCTTGAGGTGTCAGATAATTATGAATAAGTATGGGGATTCACATCAACAGTTGAGACTCCAATTTAACATGAGAAAGGCAATTTCACAGTGTCTGTCAAGCTCTGTCTTGAGTTGAATTTTAAGTGAGGATGGTTGTTATTTGTCCAACTTTTAGCAGATCCTTGCATCAAATTGGTACACTCTACTCACAATTTCTCCTCCTTTATTCTTTTGCCCTCCCCTTTATCCACACCCCTTCTCTCTATTACTCAAAGAATCAACCTCTCATTTCGTCAAAGTGATCCATTTGTGGGGTCTATTGATGCTTCTCGGATTTTCACATGTAACTTGTAGCACCTTAAGTTTGTTTCTTCCTCCTCTTCCCCCAACTTCCTCTTTCTTCCCCAGACTAGACTAAGAGATGTTTTGATTTATTTCTTGGCTAGTTGTCTTTGAGAGGGTTGACACCTTACACTTCATTCAGGGAGCCTTTGCTTTTGTTCTTGGCCCCAATAGGTTTCTTGTGTAAATTAATTGCTAAAAATTTGAATAGCCTTTGGTAGATATGTTCATATGCTCTGATTTAGAGATCGAGCATTAGTGGGGATATTGGAGGAAGCCGTTTCGGAGCTCTTTCAGGATAAAGGTCACTTATGAAGGCAAGCTGATTTATTTACCGTTTTAGGTATAACAACAAAGAAATAGGGGGCCTTTCTCATGATTAGATAGGTCATGGGAGAAGGTGTGTGGCTCAGTACAATTTAATGTCTGTCTCTCATAGGGTCAATTCTTCAAAAAGAAAATTGTAATTATCATTTATTCTTGATTACCAACAGTCGGAGCACCTTCTGAAAGAGTGTGTTTTGGTCCCCCTTTGTTGGTTGGGCCTTTGCTTTTAGTTGGTTTTTATTGACCTATAATTTATCTTGATAAAAGTTAGTTTTTTATTATTTTTTTTTTTATGGAAAAAAATGAATTCATTGGAAAGGAAAGCTTAATTAGGCAAAATAAAAATTAAGATAAATATACAGCTTGCAAGCATGATACCACTTTCTCTGTAGTCACAGCAGAATTCCAAGCCACTGGACCTTCAGAAGTCTCTGCAAATCGTGACAATTGTGAGCTACTAGGTTTAGTTTCTGCACTGTGAGGGCGTAAGGATGTGAGTGATGTATGACTTAACGTCACAGGCCCAGAGGCAGATGACGGTCTAGAACTTGGGCCCCATGCACTAGCATGAGGTTCATGAGACCTGTCACTACCAGCGGTTGATGGACGAGTGCCACCTCCACCAGATGAAGGGCGACCACAGAGATGGCTAGGTGAACCAGAAGCACTATCTGTATTTGGAGAAACAGATGAGGAACCCCAGGCATTTGTTGCAGATGAAGCTGATTTATTTCCCCAACTGAGGGTACCCCTATCAAGTGTGGGAAAATAAACACAATTCAATCCAACAGACAATAAACCAGGAAACACAAAGTTTTTAATGGATTTACTTCACTGAAACTTACTAATAGCATGTGAAAGAGCCAGAAATAGAGAGTAATAACCAAATAAATAACTGCATACTCACTTGGGTACAATTTCCACATTTGGATCCAAACCATGATTTTCTAACCTGAAATAAGACGGAGAACACAGAATTTCAGAGAGAAACCATATTCGTATCTAATAGAGATGAGGTGGTGACAACCCTTAGATGACAAATGCCAATAATGACAATTGATCAACAAAGCAAATACCTTTGACTGGGTAAGTTTATAGGTTTTGGAACAGCAACCTTTCCCAAAACAGTCATCCCACCTCGTCTGGCTGATGTCCACCTGCCACAATGTGGAAACAATAAGATGGTTGAAGGATTCGTTCTAAGCTACATCAGATAATTATTGCTTTTCAACAGAAGAAAACCATATTTTTAAAATCCAATATTAATCCCATATTCATTTCTATGACAAATTCTGTTACACCAAATCACCAATAACTTTCCTACAAAAAGAGCAATCAAGAAGAAACGCTTCCACTTGGATCCTGCCTTCAGTGGAGTATTCTTCCCAAATAAGCAGGCAAAGACATAAGCAAGCAAAGACTCTTTGTAATTCACTTCCTCATTGCTAGTTCACATATTTTTGTGGGGTACACTTTGCATTATTTCAGTGTTTGTTTGACTTGCCAATGAATAAGTGGCCAAGTGTCACAAGTAGATGTTAGGATAATTCCATTTAAATGGAGAATGCAAACCTCTTTGTATTACCAAGATCATGCCCATTCTGTAGGATAGTTGGCTACAAAGAAATAAATGAAGATTCAAAGATAAGATTTTTCAGACCATTAACACACTAAATAACATTAAGTTCAATGGAACTTAGCTAAACCAAATAGCCTCCTCCCAGTCTCTTTCCCTTTCATTGAAGAGTTCCTTGTTCAAAGCTCCTTTTCCTTTCTTTCAAAAGATAGGTTATGATTTCTAGGTGAAATTCTATTTACACTATTTTTTTTTATAAGACCGAACTTTTCATTTAGAAGAATGAAAACAAAACAGAATTATACGGGCATACAAAAACACAGCCCCGAAAAAGGAGGCCAGCCTAGAGAAAGGGCTTCCAATCCAAAAGAATATGACCTAGTTGATAATTACAAAATAAATTCGAAACAGACCCCCATAAAGAGATATTAAACCTAACGAGGTCCCAAACAAACTCCCACTCCCTTTCCACTCCCCTAAAGATTCTATTGTTTCTTTCCCCTCAAATGCCCCATAGAATCCCAAAAAACCCCACCCGCCAAAGGAAACTCCCTTTCTCACGGAAGGGAGAATACAACAAGACTTCATCCACCATCGACACCCAATCTCTATGACGAGTCCAAGCAATTTCAAATATCTCAAAGAACCGGCCCCAAATGTTCTGGGACTATTTACACTATTATTTAAGAGAATATAAGTGTCTTTTTAGTGTTGTTTGAGGGATTGATGGAAGATGGATCAAATTAGGTTTTATGCCTCCATTTGGGCTTTCAACAACAAATAAGAAAATTTTTTTAAATCGCTATTTATTTATTCAGGCTAGCTGGAAAACATTTTCGTAGTTCCACTAGCATTGATAGCGTTTGACCCCTAGCCATCCCTTCCCTTTACAATATTTCATTGATATTATTCCCTCTCATCCAACATATATGAGTGCATGTACATCACTAAAAGGGGCTAATGAAATAAATTGAATCGAACCTCTCGCTGTAAATCTCCAACCTTGTTTATAGTAAAAAATAATCATGCGGCTTTTAGAGAAGAAAAATTTAAAATAAATTTAAAAAATGGATCTCAAGAATTGTGGGAAAGGGGAAAAACGTTTGTTGCTATTTTCACATATCCATTCAACGCATCAAAATACAAGTAAAATAATTTTTTTAAAAAAAAAAGATCTCAAGAATTGTGGGAAAGGGGAAAAAAGTTTGTTGCTATTTTCACATATTCATTCAAGGCATCAAAATACAAGTTGCAGCAAACAATGTCAGCAGGTAATCCAAGTGATTTCCAAACACCATTCTCTAGCATCCATGCTTAATTCAGATGCTTGCCCAACCCCAAACAGAATCTAATTACTAAAAATGCATATAATTGTCACGCATCAGAGCAAAAGAACGGTCCAGAACTAAACTTTCAGGAATCCAAATTAACTAACTATCAACACCTTATGTTGCGGTAGTAGAGCAGGAAAGTAATGTAATACCTTCTTTCTCCACTCAACATACTCGAAGTCATGATTGAACAGTTGCAGCAAGGTCATTCAACCAACTTTAATACAACCTGAGGGAAAATGCGATCAATATATTTTCTAATAATCATGAACATTAATTGTAGGAAATACAGATACCAATGGAAATTTACACGTATATTTTTATTTTCCAGATTTCATAAGTAAAACCATCCAAGTTGTTAAGATCAATCAACTAGCCCAATGGACTCATCTATAAACACACAAAAACAGAAATCCAAACTGCTTCTGAACCACCTTAAGATGGAGAACTGACACGGGTTTTTTTCTCAATAGGAAACGATACAGCATAGAAATTTCACCATCGGTGTCATTTAATTTTTTTATTTAAAAAAATGTATTTTCTAGAATCCACAAATGCAAGATAGTCTAATTAGGAATCAGAACAGATCAACAAGCTAAATTGAATTACGGATACAGGAAATCAGTCCTTTCATCTCGGTGCTAGCCTTCTATTTACATTCCAATGTGTAAATCAATATCCAAATTGATTCTTCGCTTTTCCAAACTAATCCATCAGTTTCTTCTCAATGCACCATGTATTGATGCTTCAGAACAATTTTCTACTCTGACTCCGAAATCATGAAGTATATAATGGGTACCTCAGTTAATTAGGTTTAAGAATCCAAGATCAATGAATAGGAGATTCAGCTTACAGGACCTACCCTCACTAAATAATTCTTCTTTTGGATTCACAAGCTTTACAACAAAAACCAATAAGAAAATTATCTGCTTATATCCTACTGGCTCAAGTTGTGCAACATCATCGTTAACTCTCTCTCTCCCATTGGGCGTGATCAAACATAGATGCAAAATAGGGCAACTAACCCATTCTTTATAATCAAGCCTTTGCACTTAGCTCTAGATTCGTCAAAATCCCATTCCCCAAAACTCAAAAAAATAGGAAGCTTCTCTTTGCCAAATTTATATTCATTGTTGCAAAAGACGACCTAAAACTTCCTACCTTCCGATTTCTAGCGAAAACAATCAGTCCAATCTACTGCTCTATTGACCACGGTTCAAAACCTTTCTCACCGTCGCGATTCAAACATGCTCCGTAATCCAACGAACTCATACCGCAATGAAAAAAATGTAATTATGACTACGCAAGTGCAAAACAACAACAAATTAATCGATGAGGAAGAATTCAAAAGACAGATACGAAAATATAACAAAGTAATATAAAACTAGAGTAGTCCGGCTCCGGACCTTTAAATAACTATGTAAACCCCTAGTGCCTCGAGTAGTTGCCTAACTAATTAAACGATATTAAAAATCCAGGAAAAAAAAAACAAACAGCCAAACACGCGAAGACGAAGATTTCCATAATCTTCCATACTTCATCCCCATTTGTCATTTCTTATTAGTTTTCCCTTTTCCTAAAAATCAAACGCGCGAAATTGGCTAGATGGTTTGAAGATGAAATTTACGGAGAGTGACTTGCCTGAGATGAAATAGGGGCTTCAAATGCTTCGTGCAAAACCTAGAGAATGAATGGGGCGGAAGTAGCCTGACGATATTCCAGAAAGAGGAGACAGAAACGAAGGGGAGATGATAACGGGAGAGAAAACAAGCAATCGGAACCTCGGAATCGGAGGGAGATCGCGATGAGGGTTCCGGCGAGGAGATCTCGGCAAATGAGAATATAGGAACTGGAGAGTGATGGGCCTCCGATCGGAGCAAAAATATATGGAATGGACGGGCAGAAAGGGAAGATGGCAGAGGAGTTCGAGGACGGACGAGGAGTTGTTTTTTTGTTTTGCCTTTGCTTGTTATAATATTATAAATTATTAATTCGTATGATTTATCTTTACAATTTCATGAGATAAATAGTGCGCAAATTACCATCGTATTTCGGTAATTTCACTGTTTTGTTTTCTTGTATTTGTTTGGATAAAGTTAACTCAACTGGTAAAATTCCTTCTCTCAAAAAACAAATAAATAAATAACTAAAATAAAACTTGTAAAATTACTCCACACATCTTATTAGTTAAGACATGAATTATTTTACTAAAAAGTTGGAGATTTGAATCCAATAGGTTGCAAACAAAATTTCTTTCTTTTTTTACTTTTTTTTTGGTTAACGTGTTCTACTTAGCTTATTGTACAATTATTATAGTCTTACTTGTTTTTCATGTTTAATCTCTCCATTCATATAATTGTTTCTTACCAAAATTTTTGTCCTGAATATTATTGTACTTCTAGAAAAGATCATTGATAAAATTAAGGAAATTTTGAGTACTCAAAATAAAAATAATAATAATATAATAAAATTTTAAAAACAATTTAGTAAATTAATCCAACGTTATCAAATTGAGCATATTTCAATTGGTTAAGTACATTTCATTATGAGTTGAGATTTATATCTTTTTCCATTTATAATGCATTATTCTATAATTAAAAGAAAAAAGAAAGACACATAGCACAAGATGGTTAGTACTATTTTTACTATGAATATATATGTAATCACATTATTGTTATTTAAAGAGATTTAAATCCATTTAAATAGAATAAATAATAGTTTTTAATAAAAATATGAGCGTAAAAATTCGAACCTACAACCTCTCAAAACAGTTAAAAGTATATACCCATAAATAATAGTGTGACTAAATTAAAGGCACGTGTAAATAATTTATTGAGATTCAACTCATAATTTTAATAGACTTATGTTCATATAATATAGGATCTGAACGGTTCATATTTGAATCGTGCACAGAAGAACCAACTTGTTGGTACTACATATTAATTTGTAAAATAAGACTAGTTAGGCTACAAGTACCAAAACGAGCATAGCTCAGCAGTAATTGATATATACCTCAAATGAAGAGGCTGTGAGTTCGAATCCCCTCCCAACATGTTGTACTTAAAAAAAAAAAAAGTTAGACTCCAAGTTAAAAGCTTGTAAATAAATTAAAAAACAAAAAGCTTACAAGTTAAAAGCTTGTAAATTAATTAAAAAAAAAGGGTTACAAGTTAAAAGTCTTTAGACTAATACTTAAAAACCAAAATCCCGTGACTGGATGTATTAAACATCGCTATCCATGTTATGTTATGTGGCCACGCTTGTATGAAAATTCAAGTCAGATAATCGTTGGATTAAAGATTAAAAAAAAAAAAAAAAGTAAAAGAGGTTGCAGAAAAGTCCTTAGGAAAATAAGGAAACTACAACTTTGGAGTATGCACTTAATTCCCTTCGATTATTTATTATCTCATTTATTTTAGAAATAAATAGATTTATAGACCTTTTGTTATAGTAATTTGTTTAAATGGTTGGTCACTCATCCTTAATGTAATTATTGAGTTTGAAAATTAACCATTCGCAATTAAACGAAAAAATCAATCAATTGCATAAATACAAATAAAACATAAATCCCTATCTAAACATTTTTTAAGTATATTTTTTTGTTCAATCTACTCTTTTCCTTTCTTTGATGTCTAAAGTTCATAGGCCGTGAATCAAGTTGAAACCCATACTCCACATTTGTAAATAATTATTTTTTAATTAAAGAAAAAAAAAACTTAACTTATTTTTGTTTGGGTTGAATTTTACTCAAAGAATAATTATACCATTAACATCGTATTGGCTTCATTAAAATGCTGAAGCTGGGGAGTCTATTTTCATAATGCGGTTTTGGTTGCCATTATGTTGGATGTCTTGCATTAATCAATCCGAACTGTTAAAATTGTATTTCTTGAGACTTTCCTTTCTTTTATTTTCTTTCCTTTTTTCCAATATAAGATATTTCTTGAGACTTGAGTTAACAACGAAATAATAATAAAAAGAAATTAAAAACGAGTAAGCATTAGTTTTCTATCTTTATACCACTTGAGTCAAACAGAAGAGAGACCAAATATGGCAATTTGTGGCCATTGCCGCCAGCCATCTCCCTCTGCAGGATTCCAGGTGTATGTTTTTATTCCCAGCTGAGTGCCTTAGGAGGGAAGCCAAAATATTAGCTTTACAAAATGCATGTGAAGGATGGAGGCCAGAAGATGGGCAAATCTTGACCATTCATTTCTTTACATGAAATAATATATTTTTTTAAAAAGTAAACACACCTCAGTTCAGTTCAAGTAGTTCAATTTTTTTAGGTTTAGTGGTAATTTGATATCATATGAAACTAACGTCTTATGTTCGAAAGTTGTTCGAGTGGGATCGCTTACCTCCACATTGATCTGAGCCCCATATTTGAAAATATCCAAACTCCTCATCGCGTATCCAATCAGAGCATAGGGAAAAAAAATAGAAGCCTAGTCCTCTTCATTTGTGTGCCATATTTTCTTCACCAGAGCATCCACACCATATTGCAGAAGCAGCAAGCAGCGAACCTGTACATGAAGAATTCCTATTAGCAATAATAAAGAAGCCCCATTCCAACTTAGGTGCCAATCCACATTTCAGTTTTTAGTCAGCTTTCAGAAAATCATGAAAACGTTTGTTACTTATTTCTCATTTTTACTTTTTTAGAACATTAGCATTTCCTGTTTCTTCTATCTCATTTGTAAAAAACGTTTTTAAAATTGAGTAGAAATTTTAGAAATAACAAAACCAAGCTACTTGTTTCTTATTCCTATTATTCCTATTTTTAGTTTTTTTCCAAAACATAGATAAAAGTATTATTTTACCATTTTTTTATTTTTAAAATGCATAATAAATATTAAAAAAATAAGTATAACATAAAATTTTTTAATATTTAATTTGAAAATTTAAATTTCAAATAAAACTTCTACTTTTTCTAATTAAAAATTTTAGAGAACATTTCTTCGTTACCACACATGCATCCGTTGCTTTGTCAAAATCCTTCAGTCTTTAAAGATGGCCGGCAGCGTTGCTTCAGTAAAGTATTCCTTTCTGACTGTATCTACGGAGCAAAATCTCACCTTCAAAAAGGAAAATGAACCACCATTACAAATACTTGATCGACTTTAGGATGTACGGAAGCGCTTGAAGACAACAACAATTCCAAACAGCTGAATAAAATTTAAGTGACCAAGTTCTTATGTGCGTATTTAGTTGTCATACGTCAGAAGGGCATGATGTTTTCTAAAATGGTTGAACATTTTCAGCATGTATAGGGTTGCTGGCTGAAAGGAATCAATTCGAAAATGTCAGATTTCTTCATTTGTAATTAGAAGAAGAAAAGCAAACTCCGTATGTGGATGCAAGTGAAGAAACCTATGCTTTGAATTGAGCCGTGAGATTATAATCAAATTTGAGTCAAGTGGATTAATCAATCTAGACTTATGGTTTATGACTAAGGGAATATAAATTTGTAGTTAAGAAATCGAAGTGCATACCAGAGAGGCATACGATTTTAGTAGCGGTTTAGTAAGTTGCCAGAGTGGTCTGAACACAGATGGAGCTTCCACAAAGAGGACTTGACCTAGCCGTTTCGGATAGTAGGAGTAGAACACATCAAACTGCCAGGGAAAAGAGCATAAGGAGATCAGAAAGGACGATTAACAAAAGATAACGAGGCCATCAAGACATGAAAATATGTTGACCCCATCCAAACTCCTCTCTCACCATAAACTGTAAACATAGTCCTCAAGAGAGAGAGCAAAATGAGGAAATGGGGAAGAAAGCCCCATTTTTTACACTAATTAATAAGTTATACGGCCAATTACTAGATGATGCATCCTTGCAGCTCAAATTAGCATTCTGTTAAGTATACCAAGTGACCAACTGATTGGTTGTTTTGTGGAAAATGTAATATAGTTTTCATGTCTTAGAATCAATGATTGACCAAGACACCTATTTTAGAAACGACTGCTTCCTGGTAAAGTGAGCAAAAAACTTGTGATATTAAAAATGTAATATGCGTACAGATCAAACAGTTCGGCCGAGTGGTTAAGATATGAATCTCATCAGAATCTTGCAAACATTGTTTCTGAGTTCCCACTATATACTGAAAACGATAAATCTTAGCTTGTAAGATTACCAAAAATGTCAAGAACTTAAGATCTGCATTCTCAGTACCAAAACCTCGCAGATCAATTATTCCAAGAATTTCTTCTTTTCCTGTTGGAAGCTTGCTCAGAGCTTTCTCTACATAGAACACACATAGTTTCTCATCCTCAACAGGATCATGCACCTGTTTGGTCAAGTTATTTGTAAAGTCAAAATTCATGTTAAGAGAGTAAATTCATAAGAGATTATTGACAAAAACATATTTTTGACCATCAAAAATAAGGAAAAAATTGCCCACTGAGAAAGGACAAATGCCAAGGTGCATGTCATTCGTAAGGAGGTCATACTTCACTATTCATGGAGGAGTAGATGCATCGCCATCATCAATTCAGGGACAGTTATAAATTACAAAGCATAAGCTTGCAAGGTTACAATGACAAAGGAATAGATCTTCAACTACAAAGAAAGACAATTGTACTACAAATGACCTAGGGATAATAATGGGATTAGATAATTAATTCGACGCAAGAAAATTTGTCAAATGTCAATAGGTAAACGGAGATCAACCATGAAACTTACTGCAGGTAAGTGCTTGGAAGCCACAACTATGAGTACTGGCTTGTCGTTGACATCGAGAAACTCATGGACGAATGCTTTTCCAGTTTCAGCTATTCCTTTTACTGAATCTTCGGACAATGTATCTACGCCAAATTCCTGACGCCAGCTCTACTTGAGACAGAAGGGGAAAATTAAATGCATATAATTATGTCATGGATGCTTATCAGTCCTCGTATTAGCTAGAATCCCAATATAGACCATGCAGAACTTTTTTCTTAACCTCATTTCAAAATAACTAACTCATCGAATTCAGTTTTTATAATGACTTAAACAAGAAACATGCTGTTCTCAAAATAAAAATAAAAAAGAGGGGTTTCAAGTCTATACAATAGCTTTAGTTAATTTTGCAACAGCGTCTTCAACAGAAAACTTCCGATCCTTCAGAAACCAAAGGATCATCTCTTCGTCATCCCTTCCATTCCGGCCTAGAGGAAGATCAGAATACTCTCGTTCAAGTTTCTCCTTCACTTCCAAGACGAGCTGCAACACTTGAAAACATGAACCATAAACTATCCAATTTATCATGATGTAAAGGTAAAATATATACATATACGCAACGCGATCGCCCAGACGTAATTGTAAAGCTACTTACTCTTCAGATAACTATAAAAAATCTCTCAAATTATTATTACCTGATATGTGGAGCAAAAAGCTCGTATAAAATAATGGCTGCAATTTGCTGAACTGACTGAAAGTAAACACGCTTCTCCTCTCGAGAGAAGGTATTTACGCTCAGATGCTAAGATTTTCGCTCCATATTACAGCTAAATTTTCAGGCAAAGGTTGTATGAAGACGACGGCAGAGACAAATTTCATCAAATTACAGACATATCAACAAAGAGATGTTTGTTGACCTAAATCGAATCCAAACGTACAACACTCCAGAATCAAATTCATACGGAAAGTAGCTTTCTCTCGGCAGCCAATGTAAAGCAGGCGCGAACAAAAAGCAGTGGATAATGGAGTGGTGACTTAGTACCTTGCGGGACTCACCGGAGTCGGAGACGCAATTCTGAACTGCGAACCTGCGGAACTGAGTAGCTCTGGATGGAACTGGATAACTGGCGAGGAGAAGCGGGTGGCGTGGAGTGAGGATGAGACGTACCGCCATTTCTTAACCAGAACTGGATGAACGTCTCTTCGCTGGTTCGAGTATCGTTTTCACATTCGCGTGGAGGATCATGTTGAGTTTATGGTGGGACCGTAACGACGTCGCTGCGGGATAAAAGGCAGCCATCTTTTTCTCAAATATCTTTGACACGTCAAATTTTGGTTTTATTATTAATATTTTTAGTACAAACAATTTTTGTTTTATTTTAATCTGAAAATAAAATTTATTTACATTGTAGCTTAATTGGTGGAGCTATTATTTTATTAAAGATTTAATATTTAAATGTCCAAAAAAACAACAATTTATTTAATTTTTTATAAAAATAATATAGAATAATCACGAAATGTATTTTGTTTTTGTTTTTTTAAAATTGAGAAATCATGTATCATTCTTTCGTGTTTCCTTTTTTCAAAGTTGAAAATTTATATTAAAAATTTGAATCAGACAAAAATATATATTATAAAATTATTGGCGTCAAACTGGCTCCTAGTTTAATACGAATCTTTTTTAGTTAATTTAATAAATTTATTTTGTTGTACATAAAAAATAAATAATATTACATTCAACATATTACCCAACGTCAACATATCACTCAACAATAATGACATATATTCCTTCGCTTTAGATTGGATGTTTAAATTTGTTCATACCTTGAATTTGTTTTACTAAAAAAATAAATATATAAAATTTGATCTTAACATAGTTGGACCAAGTACTAATAAATCATAGATTCAAATCTTCATTTCTAAGACGTAATTTTCACCATTTATGCATTTATAGTTCTTATTTACTTTTAATTGGCTGCTTCAGCTAAAAAAATATATTTCAACAATAGTTGACATATATTTCAAACTAAAATGTTGTGAGTTCGATCTTTTGGTTTTGTACTTGAAAACAAAAAATATAGTTGCTTCAAAATTTCAATATTACTTCTCAAATACTTGGAGAAAGCCCAATACTGCAGGCCATTCACGTGTTCCGGACCGGATAGCACAAAACTTTAATGGGCCTTCGCAAAGGGATGCCCAATCATAGTTTGGGCCTCAAAGCCACGTGTCGTCTTGAGTGCGGGCTGCACTTCGAATCCAACCCACATCAAACATGATGTTTAGATTTTTTTACCAAGTTTATCTAATATCTAAAAAAAAAGGAAAAAAAAGTGTACATGCAATGCAAGTACTTACCTGATGAGCTTAAAGGATATTTGATTTAGTTGTTTTTAAAAATTTTGAATTTTAAAATTATTTCAACTTAAAACAATTGACATATATAGAAGAAACAATCACGTTGCTTTTATTCTGAGGTATTTATATAAATAGTAGGGTGTATTTTTAAATATAACATAAAGTTTAAAATTTTACAAAAATAACATAGTCAAAATCAAACTTCAACTCAAATGTAATAGAAAATACACCGATACAAATAAAATTTATGTTATATTTAAAAAAAATTGTTACACTTTAAAAAATACATATTTTATCTATGCTATATAAAGTTTGTTTTTTCCTTTTTTTTGAATGAGTTTTAGAATGGTCTCTCATGCCTTATTTGAGTTTTTGTAGTTACATTATTGTAGACAATGTTTGCAGTATGTCTTCTTTTAGGTTTATTGGTTTATTCTTGATGCTTTCCCCACATTTTAATGTTATTTCTAAGAATAAATTATATGACAAGATTGCTAAGTTTTATCAATTTAGCTGGAAAAAAGTGTTGATTCGTATACACCAATTAAAATATGGAATTTATGGGTTTTTTTTTTCATTTACTCAATCACTACGTTTATATGTTAATCTCAAAATAAATATAGTTTCGAATCAATATTACTTTTAAAAAATTATTGACTATATATTTATAATTTATTTTATAAAATATATATCTATAATTTTACTCTGAAAAAAAAAACTGTAATAAAAAAGTTACTCAATTAAACAAAAAAAGTTTAATCAAACGTTGTTTTTTTGTTTCAAAATTCATATAGCTGTCTTTCAAAGGCGATTTCCAGACAACCCATTAACTTTTTTTTAGCACACCCATTAAATTTTATTAATGTTAGGAAATATATATATATATATATATACACACGCAATAATTTGATCAAAGTCAATATCCTCTTTTATTTCTCATAATTGGAACGGCAGAATTATTTAGGTAAGTTGGTCGTTTCAGCACTTTTTGAGATTTTCTTCCCATCTTCAAAATAGACAGAGATATTCCTTTGAGAAAAAAAAAAAAAGGGAAAAACAGAGATATTAATTAGTTGTGAACATAGTAAAATAAATAACAACTCTTCTAAAAGTAACATGCAATTAAGTACTTTTCATTGGCTTGGTAATTGAAAATTGTCATATTTTTAATTACATAATTGTAATTTAGGCGACTCTAATTTTGCCTGTCGTAAATAGTAATAAGGAAATCAATGAGTAATTATAATTTGTAAAAACAAAAAAGAGAATGATATGGTTGAGTTGAGTCCGTTTTGAAGGTTTAATGGACCAAATCGACACTTTCCAGTTTCCACAACATTTGTATTTATTGTTTAAAATATCTTAAAAGGTTATATTTTGCTAAAAATTATCACCTAAAAAGGGAGGAAGGATGAAAGAAAAAATAAGAAGCAAGTCTTGAGGACAACTCGAGTTTTGCTTCGCATCAAACAACTGGTATTATGCATTCATCTTCCTACCTTTGATTTGGATTAAAATTGATGTGGGGTTGGATTGAGTTTTGAAATTATTTTGTAAGATATGAAATTTTAAACTCAATTGTTTAAAACATCTTAGAATGTAGCCTCATATAACCCAAATAATTTCGGTTAATTTATAAATCAAAATTTCATATCTTATGATTAACTTTTAAATATACTTTTAATTGTAATTACTCAATAAAATCCAAAAGTGTCAAACAACTCACTAACGACTCATATGATTTTGGTATAGTTTAAAATTAATTTTGAGTAAGAAGTATAAATGAGCATGAGGTAGAAGTGAATCTTAAATTATCCATAAATTGATAAAATGTATGATTATATATAATCAACCAATTCACTCGAGTTAAAAAAATCAATATAAGCTTAATTAATTTTCAACTAGACTCGAGCAATACGAGTTGAATTGAGTTGCTTGATTTTTTTTAGGTTGCCAATTTTTTTTACACCCCACCTTTGAAGTTAAGATTGTGTTGTTGCTTGAATACTTTCAATACACAAATACTTAGATTGGATACAAAGTTAATGGCGATGATAAATATTCAAGAAGATATTAAGGTCTGATTGATAATATTTTTGTTTCTTATTTTCGTTTTCTCATTTTTTAATAAATAAAAATATAATTGTATGGTCTCAATATCCATAGATTAAAAATGGTAAAACAAAATATTTATTTATGTTAAGAACAAATTGGAAATTGAATAAGGAACAATAAACTTATTTTTATTGTTTCTAAAATTATTATATAATTTTGGGATTATTTTTAAGAAAATGAGAAATAAAAAACATAATAATTTGTCAAAAATTTAGATTACTTTAACAACAAGATCAGCCTTTAATTTACACAAAGGTCTTTGTTCCTATCATAATTCTTTCCACCGACTATATTTGAGATATTTAAAAGTTTGGGTCATTTTTCATTTTAAATAAGAACACATATTTCATTTTCACGAGTTAATAAGAGGACATCCAAAGAGTACAAATTTGGATGGATGTTAGCTGAACTTCGTCCACACATTCTTGTATTACTGCGAGCAACTAAAAACCAACTTGAATATATATTAACTTATTAAGACATATATTTTCGATAAAAAACTAATGGATTCGAATTTTCACCTTCACACGTTATTGTATTCATAAAAATTAAAATATTGTCCCAAGTCAAAATATGATGTAACTTTATGTTTTTTATTTATAAATATTATTAAAATATTACCATCCCAAATCAATTTTAAAATTAATTCACTTTATAAATCTTTTGCTCATATTTTTGTTTTTTAATACAACACGTGGGATAAGGATCAAACTCATAAACTGTTAATTGGAGATATATGTCAATTATCCTTGAATTATGTTCGTTTTGGCGAGATTTGAACTCATTAGTTATAATTTAAATATTCTGTTTAATTACGAGTTACCACCCAATTTTAAATCTTAAATGGACTTTGGTAATGAGTATAAATTTCATCTTCTTTAATATATATTTAACATAAATATTTCAATGTAATTTAAATGACTTTTTTGGGTTGAAAGTATTTAGGTTTTCTTATTATATTTTATAATTAAATATTAGATCTTATTGTATATAAAATAGCATCGTTCAAATCGTCATATTCCATGTTGTTTTACTAAAAAAAGTTTATATATTTTGTTTATATAATACTCAATCCAGCTCTCTGTCAAATTTAAGCAAAGTTATCGCTTAAAGAAATTATGATGTGAAAAAAATAAATTTCAATATTAGATGATAATAAGCCACTGCATTCCGGAAAAAAAGTAATGGTAAAATTTCTTTTTCATTTTTTTTAAAGCCTTTTTTCTTTTCTTTTTCATTATTCACTTTCTTCCTCACTAGCTCTTACAAAAGTCACAAAATGCTTTTACAAAACTAAAAGGAAAATAAAACATTCAATCTTTTAAAGGAGGAAAAAAAATATCAAATTGCTTTCCACGTCCGCATTATATGAATAATCATCACGTGTTAAAGTATTAATTTTTCAACGTTAAATATACACGTCATTATTAATATATCTATCATCTATGTATGCATACATGAAAGAGACCCTTCCATCTTATGATATAGACTTTTTTTTTTTTTTTAATTAAACGAGTGACGAACCAAAATTACGAGATTTTGGTTGAAGAATATAGACTATTTATATATGCACTTACATATATATAACAAAACCTTAATTCATATTCACTTAAATCTTTTAGTTTAAAATTAGTTTGACATAATAATTAAGTTTAGAATTTAAAATGGCTAACTTGAACATAATTTTTCTTTAGTTTAACATTAGAGATTTAAACGTCTTAAACGTGTTTAGATTTACAGTTAAAGATATTTTTACCTTCACACTAAGTTATAGATTTGAATCTACTCCTCTATCTTCATAATGCAATATTCTAAATAATAGCAATAAAAACAATATTCTAAATAATAGCAATAAAAACAAGTATTGCAGTGTCATTTCTATGGACAAACAAAATTTTGAAGTCATTAATAACTAGATACATTTTTTTTCATGATATACCATTCAAAATTTTGAATCTACTCCGCCCGCAGCGCTTACTGTCTCTCCTCCAAATCCTCGATACGCTCCCTGGCATTGCGAATGCGTGCTTCTTTCAAGGCAGGATCCAGTGTTCTAACACTCCTAAAAAAAAGTTAGCATTCATGAAAAATGTTGGCATTATTGTATTGCAGAGATGTATAATAATTTTAATTTTTTTTAGTACAATAATTTGGGGATATGGAGAATTGAACCTTCGACCTTGAAGAAAGAATTACATCTCAATTACATTGAGTTACACAAGAATTTACCCCATTTTAATTTAGGTAGGAAGCTTGGAAAATGAAAATAAAGTCTGGCCTTTCTAAGGTATACTGCTCTTTTGTACCACAATATTTTTTCTTCCAGAAAAATCGGTCTACAATAAATGAGCTGCCCAATAATTGAGTACGCAATCTCCTCCCTTTCAATTTCATATGAGCCCATTACTCATAAAATCGCCCTCTTCTTTTTAAGTCTTTCGGTGGCCTCCCACTATCTTTAATTTTGCCTTTTTCTTTTCCTTAAAGAAAATAAACTTAGGTTGAAAAAAATGAGCTTCTATTAATTTAAAAAAAAAAGCTCAAATAATTGAGGAGTTTTTAAATATTAATAGGTTCAAGTGATTTTTATCTTAAATTTTCAATTCAATTAAATAGGATTTTAGATTCGAATAGGTGGGGAAAATTTCACTCTGATGATGGAATAAATCTACAAAACTCACCATTTTTTTAAAAAAAAAGAAAGAAAAAAAAGAAGATTCTAACCATAGTATCATTGTTTATTTGAAACTTTATCAATTTAAAATTAAGAGTTTAAATTAAAAATTTTACGTGCCAAATTTGATTAAGAGTAAAAAATCATTCTTTTTTCATGAACATTTAAAACCTTAGTACATTATTTGAACCATCTTTTTTAAAGCAGTAGCTCGTATTTTTTAAAATATTTTGTTAGGGCATCATATATACTTTTTAAATATGGATATTAATAGAAAAAATATATTATTAGAGGTTTATATTGTTTATTTAGCAAGTTTGTTAATTGGGAGTTATTCTGTTATTCTTGTATTATTTAAATACACTTCTCATGTACAGATATTGTGTGAT